CTGCACTAATTAAAGCTGGTAAAAATATGAGTTGGGCTATAGGATCACCTGGCGCAACAGCAAAAGCACCTCGTGCAACTGAGCACAGCACTGAAAAGGAGCTAGCTTCCGGATGTAAAATTCCAGGTGTTACAATAAAACCTTGAGAGCTCAAGGCTGCTCGGCCTATCACAAGCCCGACCGCACCAGGTGGTACCGTGTCTGTTAAGATGACCGGTACCGGCGTAATGCCGTCCTCTGGTTTTAAGAGGACTCCGGTGGTGGCACAGAGGTCCAGGCTTGCAGGGTGTCGCTCCTGGCAGGGTCCCCTCGTGCATGACGGAAGAGTGCCCGGTCGGTCAAGGGGACCTGGGCCTTCGGTCCCCATCTCCCGTTTTTTGACTCCTGGCTCGAGAGAGGGCGTCCTTCTATGTCCTTCACTGACTTGCACTCATTGGCCCAATGTCTACCTTTGCGGCACCGTGGGCACATCCCAGGAGGCTTATTGCTAGGCCCTGCACGGCATTCCCTTTTCATATGTCCTGGTTTTCCACACTGAAAGCACACAGGTGATATTCTCTCCCTATGATTAGACCTCAAAATGGCGGCTGCTAGTCCATGAGCTGTTAAGGGGCCTCCTGTATCCCTACAAACCTTTAGCCAATCTGAAATTCCCTTGGACTTACGATCCTTGAGTAGGGCTCTACATTCTGCATTACACTGCTCCCAAACTATCTGCTCTACCATTCTAGTGTTCTGATCTCCCTCTCCAAAGGTCCTTTCCACGGCCTGCATTACGCGTGCCACAAAATCAGCAAAGGGCTCATCCGGCTCCTGCTTAACCTGTGTAATGCCCAGTTTCTCTTGCCCTTTAAGTGAAAGGGCCTTCCAAGCCTTTATAGCTGCAGTAGAAATTTGAGTATAAACTGGCCATGGATATCTCTTTTGATCATCAGAGTATTGGCCTTGTCCAGAAAGCATATTATAAGTCCAGGTCAAAGCATCACCGCCGCGCTGTTGGTTTGCCCGGGCGGTCTCAGCCAAAAGCTCTTGCCATAGGCTCTTCCAATTTAGATATGATCCGATATTAGGGAGAACAGCCTTCACCACAAATTGCCAATCAGAGGGAGTCATATTCATTCCCCCCATACGTTCTAACAGGGACAAAGTGTAATTGGCATGAAGACCATATTGCTTTACAGACATGGCCAATTCTCGCACTAATGCTGCATCTACCTGTCTGTAAACTCTTTCCCTTTCTTCTTCTAAGACGGGGAACATATCTTGAAGTTCCCGGCGCGCGGCTGCATCGATGAAGGAGGAGCCGGCGCCACAACTCATGGGCGGGGCAGATGGCTTCACAGCAGGAGGAGCCATTAGTGTAATGGCTCCAGAGCCCTGAGGCCATGGGCCGCTCCTGGCCGGCGCAGTAGCACCGCCATTCTCTTTCTTCTCCTTTTCTGATCCTCCTCTGATTCCTGCGGGTTGTTTGCGTCCTAAGCGCCTATGCCGCTTGTACCCTTCCTCCGCGTCGGACGTCTCCGAACTTGATGAGGAAGATACTGCTTTCAATTTCACCTCTATTTTTTGCTTCAAACCGGTTCTCCTCTCCCGCTCTGTTTCTGAGAGACTATCCTGGGCAGACTGAAGGGCTTTGTCACTCTCTCTGACCGCTCCCTTACGGAGGGCATAAACCCTCTGCAAAAATTTCACCAGAGAGAACCGTGCGCCCATGTCTATAACCAGAAGCGGTGGTTCCTATACCTCCGATTTATGCTCCTAGTCACCCGAAAGTTCTCCCTCTCAGAGCTCCTTACCTGTCTTTTGGCCGCAGTTCTGACTTCCACCCGTTCGAAACGGGAGGCCCCCTCCAGGTCCCGGGTTTCCCGGCACCAGTTGTCGCGCCCACGTGTCTTACCGCCCAGCAGTAAGAGGCAGACGCGAGTGAAGCCTTCTGCGGTAAAGTTTATTGCGCGCACAAAGATGAGGAAGAGGAAAGGGGGCGGACCCCGGCAGTCTTTCTGCTCTTATGTGCCGACTGGCCCCGCCTCCGCCGATGATGCCTGATTCCTTTTCTTAGCTATGGTTAATTCGGCTGTAGTAAGCATTGGGGTATAAATAATTCTTTCATATGCTGACTTAATTTTCTCTGGATAAATTCACAATAGTGTGATGACTGCATCATCTGGTAGACCTGTTTTCAGTTTTCTAAGGAATCTCTTCCTTGTCTCAATGATTGTCATAATGATTATACTAGTTGACATTCCCACAAACATTGTACCAGGGTGTCTTTCTTCTTTTTTCTTTAGCTGTAATATAAAGCTTTTTTTTCTTTATATTAAATATTATTTAATGCCTGTGCTATGGATACAGAACACTCTGGAGTATTATTTTAGCCTTTTCTTCTTATTAAATTCCCAGATTGAATTCCAAATCTCCAGTTTTGTCACCCTGCCTATTTGTGGGCTTTGAGGAGCTTGGATGTGTTAACACTTGTTGAATGTATCTCTGTGCAGTGTGACTCGCTTGCCCACTGCCCACTCTTTCCTACCATTAGTGCACAGCTATCTTGTGGATTAGCCAGGAGAGGTCAGAGGTAACTGGAAGTAGTGAGAGAAGCAGGGCCAGCTCAGCACCTTCAGCACAATCTTGATTGAATCAAGAGTTGTGTAGTTTTTCAACCTAGATTACATATGACCAGGGCTTTTTCTTATATTTTATTTTTTTTTTCTTTCCTGGTACAAAGTTTAAATTTGAACTTGGTGAACAAATAACTTTCATTTCTATTTTAATACATATGTTACTAGGAAAAATACATTGTGTGATGTCAATAATGTAAAAAAAAATGACTTTTTTTTCTATAGAAAATTATAGTTGATTTTTGGCCAAATCTAAAACTAAAGTTGAAAAGCTGTACTTTTTTTTTTTTGAAAGAGAGTTAAGGCTTTGTGCCTCGGGGCAACACTCTAAGCTGAGGTTCTCCATGTTGTTGACATATGGCTGTGTCTTCAGTTCTGATCATCTCCAGTAAATCTGGTCTGCCTTTGCATTCAGTGTGGAATGGAATTAGCTCATCTGGTTAATGCACCTTAGGAGGAGGAAGAGGGTTTCACAATGTACGATTAGGTCATGGTTATTGTTGAGTACACATAAAAGTCACAGTGGGGGAGATGGCTTAGAATGTGAAAAGGTGGTCTCGGCCCTGGCTAAAGTCTTTGCGGGTTCTAGTCCATTCCAACTCCCTGCTTGTGGCCTGGGCAAGCAGCCGAGGACAGCTCAAAGCCTTGGGCCCCTGCACCCATGTAGGAGACCCGGAGATTGTAACTCAAGAGATTGCGCAAATAGAAACTCACTTAAGGTGGACTATGTCAGCCAGTGGATTCTGGAGAGATTTCATCATGCTTTGAATGGCAAGGTTGGCAGCAATTCAGAACCACTTGGGCCCAGTGGCGTGGCCTAGCAGCTAAAGTCCTCGCCTTGAACGCCCCGGGATCCCATATGGGCACTGGTTCTAATCCCAGCAGCTCCACTTCCCATCCAGCTCCCTCCCTGCTTGTGACCTGGGAAAGCAGTTGAGGACGGCCCAAAGCCTTGGGACCCCTACACCCGTGTGGGAGACCTGGAAGAGCTCCTGGCTCCTGGCTTCGGATCAGCAAAGCACCAGCCGTTGTGGTTACTTGGGGAGTGAATCATCGGATGGAAGATCTTCCTCTCTGTCTCTCCTCCTCTATGTATGTCTGACTTTGTAATGAAAATTAAAAAAAAAAATAAATCTAAGAGAAAAAAAACCTGTTGAGCAGGATCCTTGGAGCATGGCCCACATCAGGGCCCTGGAATGGTTGCAAGGCTGGGTGGGGCTTCTCCCTTTGTTTCTCCCCTGATCCCAGATACAGGAAGGTAAAAAGCGAGAATGTGGAAACATGGTCTTACCTGCTTTCCTGTAGGGCTTGACCCTTTGTGCCCTAATCAACTGTGTTAAAGATGACCAATAAATAAATAGTAAAAAATAAAAAGCATGTAAAAAAGTTTGGAGATTGTAACGGAAGAAATGGAAAGCAGCTGAAGCAGTGGAATTACCAGATTGCCCTGCCTAGTGTCTTGGACTTGTTATGTTTTGATTACAACATCAGATTCTTTTAGAATATTTTATCTGTTTAACGGGCAGAGCTAGATCTTTCACCTGCTGATTTACTGTCCAAATGGCCGTAGTGGCCAGGGTTGGCCAGGAGCCCAGGAACCCTGTGCAGGTCTCCCGTGTGGATAACAGGGTCCCAAGCACTTGGACACCTGCTGCCCTGCAAACCCAGCGCGCGGCTGCCGGAATACACTGGCTTTTGTGGCTTGTGCGTCAGGCGCCACGCAGCGTCAGAGTGACGGATCAGCCCGGCGGGCGGCGCGGGTGGGCGGGTCTGGAGAGAGCAGACTGGCGAGTGATTGGCTACTTGCAATTGTATGCTAATTATCGCGACAGCAAGACAGGTCTTCGGATACTAAAATATCAGCAGTGAAAATGCTTCATTAAACTTCTGTAGTAAGATCTGACTTTCAAAAACGTTATTTATAAATGGAGCAAAATATTGTGTTGTAACATCAACTAGCCGTCAACAAAATGTGTATGAATGTTGTACACGTTGGGAAGACACAGCATTGCTCGTTAAGACTATACTTTCAGGGATCATTTCTATAGTCTGTGACTAGAGAAGTTTCTCTGATCGTGTAGAGCACCGAAAACCACGAGGAGGAGCTTTAGCATCCTCCCCTGAGCGTGAAGCTGGCTTTTGGTGTTGCTTTTGTGCAACTGCCACTTGCCCTTGATGATCGTTCTTCTCTCCTAGTAGGAGAGTTAGAGGGGGAGGATGCAATCTGAGTGGTTTTCTGACTAAAGTGTAACAAGTTGGAACTGTATTCCTCCCTACCAGTTCTTAAGGCAGGGTAGGGATGGTATGATTTTTTTTGGCCACTTGTTAGTCTATCTGAGTTCTGGGGAAGTTGTAATCTGTTCTTGTTTTTACTTCCTTCAGGAGTGTATGTTGATGCAGTTAATTCCCTGGGTCAAACTGCACTTTTTGTTGCTGCATTATTAGGACTGACAAAATTGGTTGATGTTCTGGTGGCTCATGGATCAGATCCAAACCAGTAAGTAGATCTTGTAGTTAATGCTGGGTACTTGGGTACTAGTTTTGTAATTTTTGTGTATAATGTAGACATAGCAAAATAAGCTTAGACACTCACAAGTCGTTGATGTTGGCATGTTTTTACTATTTTGGGTTGTAATTGTGTTACTTATCTGTTCAGTTAGGCAGCTTAGATTCCCCACAATTTATTTTTGCCAATTAGTATTGTTTTCTGTGGGTTTTTCAAGAACTTAATTGTTTAGTTATGGCTGATCTCACAACTGTTTTGCAAAGGCCTTTTTGATTTTTTAAAAATATATTTATTTGGGACCCAACACAAATTCTCAGTTGGCTAATCCTCCAGGTTCCCATGTGTGTACCTGTTCATCCTGGCTGATCCACTTCCCATCCCATCTCCCTGTTTTGGAGGTAGAAAAGCAGTGGAAGCTGGCCCTGAGCTTTGGGACCTTGTTCCTATGTAGGAGATCCTGAAGATGCTCCTGGTGCCCCTGGCTTTGGATCAGCTCATGGCACTGAACCAGCAGTTTCTGTCTCTCCTTTCTGTAAATCTGCCTTTCCAATAAAAATCAGTTTTAAAAAGATGTATTTATGGGCCTGGCATGATAGCCTAGCGGCTAAAGTCCTTGGCTTGAATGTGCTGGGATCCCATATAGACATCGGTTCTAATCCTGGCAGCCCTGATTCCCATCCAGCTCCCTGGGTGGCTCAAAGCCTTGGGACCCTGCACCTGCGTGGGAGACCAGGAGAAGCTCCTGCCTTCGGATTGGCTCAACTCCAGCTGTGTTGGCTGCTTGGGGAGTGAGTTGTTGGATGGAGGATCTTGCTCTCTTTCTATCCTCCTCTTTGTATATCTGCCTTTCCAACTAATAAATAAATCTTTAAAGAAATAAAACGTATTTATTTGGGAGAGTGCAAGAGAAGTCTTCCATCCTTCTGCTGGTTCACCTCCAGATAACATGGTTAAGGCTGAGCCACATGAAGCAAAGAGCTAAGGGTTCCATCAAGGTCTGCCTTGGAGGTGTCAGAGGCCCAAACACTTTGGCTTTGAGACTCCCACGGGTACCCATATGGAGTGATGGCATCCCGAGAGGTGGCTTTACATGCTATGACTTTTTTTTTTTTGTAAAGATTTATTTATTTATTTAATCAGATGAAAGATCTTTTTGTTTCTCCTCTTTCTCTGTATGTATATATAAATATATATTTTATTGCATATATATATATATACACATATATATTGCAAAGTCAAATATCCACAGGAGGAGAGACAAAGGGGAAGATCTTCCATGTCATGATTCACTCCCCAGTTGACTGCAATGGCCAGTGCTGCACCAATCCGAGCCAGGAGCTAGGAACTTCCTCCAGTTCTCCCACGCAGGTGCAGGATTCCAAGGCTTTGTGCCGTCCTCAGCTGCCCTCCCAGGCCACAAGCAGGGAGCTGGATGGGAAGCATGGTTGCCGGGATTAGAACTGGTGCCCATATAGGATCCCAGCATGTTCAAGGGGAGGACTTTAGCCGCTAGGCCTCCACACTGGGGCCCAAAATGAATAAAACTTAAGGAAACATAAGAACCCTCATTGCTGAGGATGGCTTCTGCAGAGTACCAGATGCCTGGAGTCCCCTCGCCACGGCAGGTCAGAGTGTTGCTATGGGTACTCATTGCACCGTCCTCCCCGCAGTCGCTGCTTTGATGGGAGCACCCCTGTCCACGCAGCAGCATTCTCTGGAAATCAGTGGATCCTCAGCAAATTGCTGGATGCAGGTGGTGACCTGCGGCTCCATGACGAGAAGGGGCAAAACCCGCAGACCTGGGCCTTGGCGGCAGGGAAGGAACGCAGCACCCCGGTAAGGTTGGGCCTTGTTTGGTTGCCATTTTCTGGAGGAGGGGGAGCACTGGTCCCAGGACACAGTGCAGAACTTGCCATGTCTTACTGCTGACCTGGACCGAAGCAGGTTAACCAGCTGTAAAACCCCAAAGTCCAGGGAACCTTTCCAGTCAGCTGTTCAATAATCTGACTCACTGAAGTGAGGTTGTTGTCCTGCAGTGATGGACTTGGTGCACTGAGCCGATAATAAACACAGGGACTCTGACTAGTAAACTCTGACCACGTTTATTAGTGGCATCAGGCTTTATAGACTGAGGGTCATATAGGATAAGGGAGGAGGTATTGAACTTATCAACAAAACCCATCACCTCATTTTATATTTTGTTTTGAACCCTTTTGTATATTCCTCCAAGTGTTCTCATTCACACGCTGCCCACAGTACACACTCAGTTATTTTCATATAAATATTGTCCTATCAATTGTAATCCTGTGCTCCCTGACCTTCTGGGCTTACAATGTCCTTTTACAGTTAGGAGTGCTGTTTTTGTTTTTGTTTTAGCTCGTCCAATCTTGACATTAACCTCTCGGGTAGGTGCTTTTATTTTCTTTTCATAGATACTGAAGCTAAGGCCTTTGGATATTAGCGTGCCTGAGGCCACACATTAGCAGGTGTGAATGAGAGCAGCTGTGAAGCGTAAAGACCATGCAGAGCTGGCACTTCCATGTGGAGTGTCATCTGCTCTGGGCTCTGGATCCGGGATTCACTCCACTTCCCTCAGTTTCCTCATCTGCTCAAAGAGCTACGTGGAAGAGATCATTGTGCAAACTTCCCTCTGGACACCGTCCGTACCTGTAGAAAATGCCCTGGGCCCTCGCTTTCCTAAGTGTTTCACTGTCAGGGGCCGTGGGCTCCTCAGCCATTTGTCTGTACACTGGCGCTCCCGTTGCCATGGAAGCTTGGCGTGGTGTATGCTCAGGGTCCTGTGCTGTGTTACAGATGGTGGAGTTCATGCAGCGCTGTGCCTCACACATGCAGGCCATCATCCAGGGCTTCTCTTATGACCTCCTGAAGAAGGTGGACTCCCCGCAGCGACTCGTCTGCAGCCCACCCTGGTTTGGGGGACTTATGCAGGGGTGAGTGCAACGTTGAGCAGAGCGGGATGTCTGCTGATGTACCCACCAGCCTCCTTGTGGGAGAATCCACAGCATCTGGACTCTGGCCAACCCAAAGGGGTGAGCTCCACTGGGTAAGGACGACCTGAGGAGCACCTTGGGCCACCTCCCTGCCTCTCAGGGGAGGGGAATGGATGTGTGCCTCAGTGGGAGCCATCGTGTGCTTAGCAGAGGACTCTCAGTCTAGGGAGCCCAGCAGGAAACCCTTACCCAGCAGGACAGCTGGCTGCCTCTTGTCATCTCCTGGATCATTTAAGAGTGTCCCCTTGTTACTAAGCAGAAAAAAGGACCCTACACATGTAACTTATAGTTTCTTCAGCTATTTTTGAAATTTTTATTGATTTGAAAGGTAGAGAGAGAATGAAAGAACCATCTCCCCCAGAAGAGTCACTTGCCAAATGTTTGCAGCAACCAGGACTGAACCAAGCCGAAGCCAGGAGCCAGGATTTCTCACTTGTGTGCGTCATTCGCCACTCCTTGAGCTGGCACTTGCTGCCAGTACACATTAACAGGAAGCTGCAGTTGGAAGCAGAACTAGCCTCCAATATGGAATGCAAATACCTCAAGGCCCTCTGTGTTTCAAATCAATAAAAAGTTTTAAAAGAAAGAAAGGCAGGGGTGGGAGAGTCGGGTGAAGGAAGGAAGAAAGGAAATGTGGGAAGAAGGAAGAGAATAGAATGTGAATGCACCTCATCCCATTTTTAATGTAAAGATTCTGAAGTCAAGTTGGCCCTTCAGATCTGTGATCGGTGGCCGTCGGATAGATTCCTTACACTGTGGGGGGAAGGAAAGATAAGCACCGGACTGAGAGGTATGGACAGTTTGTGTCTGTAGATGACTGGTTAGCAACCCTTCTTCCAGCCAGGATGAATGAAACAGACATGGACTGAGAAATTAGGTAAGAGAGCAAGAAATGCTGGCCTGAACCCGAGCTGTTCAGCTGCCAGGGCACTGGGAGAGATCAGTGAACTCCTTTGCTTCAACAGGACTCTCACCCTCCAAGAGCAGCACGTGGGAAGGCCCTGGCTCCACAGCTGGGGGTGGAGGGCTCCCACTCTCACTGCCAGCTCAAAGTCTGTTCCTTTGGGTAGGAAATGGCCACTAGTGAATGTTTGGGGCCTAAATATGAAGGCCAGTTCTTTCTTTCTTTTTTTTCTTTTTAAAGATTTATTTATTTTTATTGAAAGTCAGATATACAGACAGGAGGAGATACAGAAAGGAAGATCTTCCATCCACTGGTTCACTGCCCAAATGGTTGTAATGGCTAGAGCTGAGCTGATCCGAAGCCAGGAGCCAGGAGCCTCTTACAGGTCTCCCACGCGGGTGAAGCGTGCCAAGGTGTTTTGCCGTCCTTGACTGCTTTCCCATGCCACAAGCAGGGAGCTGGATGGGAAGTGGAGCTGCCGGTATTAGAACTGGCACCCATGTGGGATCCCAGCACATGCAAGAAAAGGACCTTAACTGCTATCACGCTGGGCCCCATATTCTGAAAACTTACTTCAGCATTGTTCCACTGGAGATGAATGATTAATTTTTCTTTTCTCTCTCTTTTAAATATTTCTAGAAACTCGAATGGCTCTCCTACCCGATTGCTTAAAGCTGGGGTCATTTCAGCTCAAAATATCTACAGCTTTGGCTTTGGGAAGGTGAGAGATTACCACTGACAGCATTTACAGAGCTAAGCCATCTCTCGCCCTTGCCCAACTCCATCCCCGCCTTCATGGGAGTAATTTTTTTGCCTCTTTAGAGAGCAAACTGTCTCTTTGTGTTCCTGTAGTGACCCTACACTAGTTTTGGGAAGTTTAGGAAATGATTGTTTAATTCCCAGTGAGGGAACCACACATAAATCTACCCAAAAAGGAATGGAGTTCAGGAGCATGGTTGGAATGCTTTTAAGAAGCTGATTTTTTTTTTTTTTTAAGCTGAGAAATGTTTTGATTGCAAATGGTCTCTTTTGAGTTGGCAGTTCTGCACTGCTGGGTAGCTAAGTGATGTTTGCCTGCTGCTGAAGACAGCTTTCTTTGTGGAGGCAACCCAGGGAGCCGGAGGAAGGAGGGGTGTCTCTGGCTGCACCCACAGGGTTGGGTTTTTTTTGGGGGGGGGGGTACACAGCTGGTGCCTCAGTTCCAGCCGTGGAGTTTTCAGCATGCTCCGACTTCTTTCTGTGAACCTCTATTTATTAATAAAAGGGAAAGAATATTAAAACCTTGCTGCATTTCCCAAGGAGTTAAAAGATTATACCAATTAAAGAGTAGGAGTGATGTTCAGAACAGGGCACTATCCAGACTGTAAGTAGTAGCTTGATCATTTTTGTTAACTGGCTGGAGGTCCGCTGCTTCTCCTCCTTTCACCATGCAATTTGAAGCTGTTTTTTTGTTTTGTTTCAGTTTTATCTCACAGGGGGGACACAGCTTGCCTATCTAGGCTCTCTTCCCATAATTGGAGAAAAGGAAGTGATTCAGGCTGATGATGAGCCCACTTTCTCCTTCTTCAGTGGCCCCCACATGGTCATGACCAAGTAAGTGGGAGCGGACAGTGGGAGGCCCCAGGGAGAATGGGCTGCGTATGGCTTCCTAATGGGGACACCCAGGCCCGTGTGTCTAAATTAGGGTTCCCTTTCCTAGACACCATTGACGTTTTTGGCCGTTTTTGGTTGCTGAGGACAACACTGTAGGATCATTAAGTGTGTCCCTTGTGTCTGTCTTCTGGGTACTAGTGACATCCCTCACACCCCCTGCTGTCGTGACCGCAAATGATCTGCCCAGTGTTGTCTGTGGGAAGAACATCTATTGATTGCTGACCCGTGACGGTAGTAGACCTCTCTGCTTAGTGGGGATCACTGTGTATCTGATACCGATTCCTGTAGAAGCCGACTCTGGCATCGGCAGGAGTCCTCACCAGCCCAGTCCAACAGAGATCCTAGTTCCTGGGGTGTTCTTAGTCCCTAGAAACCCAAACCCTATGTGGTCACATGAGTGTCCTGACCAAGGTCTTTTGGCCAACTTGGCCCTGGATTCCTTTCTGTTGATAAGAAATACTCTTTTTTTTCTTTTAAAAATACTTATCTTATTGGATGGGAAAGCAGATTTACAGAGAGGAGGAGAGACAGAGAAATCTCTTCCATCTGCTGGGTTACTCCCCAGATGACCATAATGACAAGAACTGAATTGATCCAAAGCCAGGTACCTAGAGGTCTGTTCCAGGTCTCCCATGGAGGTATGTGGTCCCAAGGCTCTGGGCCATCCTCCGCTGCTTTTCCAGGCCACAAGCAGGGAGCTGGATGGGAAGTGGAGCAACTGGGACCAGAACCAGCATCCATATTAGATGCCGGCGCTTGGAGGCAGAGGATTAGTTAATTGAGCCATTGTGTCAGCCCCAAGAAATACATTTTTAAAAAAAGATTTATTTATTTTTTATTGCAGTCAGATATATACAGAGTAGAGGAAAGACAGAGAGAAATATCTTCCGTCTGATGATTCATTCCTCAAGCGGCCGCAATGGCTGGAGTGGAGCCGATCTGAAGCCAGGAGCCAGGAGCTTCTTCCAGGTCTCCCATGCAGTTTATAGGGTCCCAAGGTGTTGGGCTGTCCTCAATTGCATTCCCAGGCCACAAGCAGGGAGCTGGATGGGAAGTGAGGCTGCTGGGATTAGAACTGGCGCCCATATGGGATCCCAGCGCATTCAAGGTGAGGACTTAAGCCGATAGGCCACGCCTCCGGTACCACAAATACGTTTCTTAACCATCTACTAGGTGCTGACATGATGACCTCTAGATCCCCATGCCCAGTGTCCCCTTAGTGTATGCTCCTCGCTTTCCTGCCAGGGCCGTAGATGTGTTGTCAAGTCCCCTTCTTCTCTTTCCCATTGCCTTTACTCAGGACATCAGTATTCCTCTTCCTGACTGGTCTCCCACTTCCTAGACAATGCATACCCTGTCCTGTCCATTCCCCACACTGCTGGTACCAGTCTGTACAGAACTGATTAAGTCACTGGTTTCCTTGAATCCTTTAGTAACTTCTTGCAGGGCATCTGATTCCCCAGGGTACTTTAGCAATGGTCCCAGGCTTGTTTGGCTCGCTGCTCAGTAGGTCACCCAGCTGACTCCAGGCACTGTGTGAACCCACTTCTTTGGTCCCTGGCTGGGAAAGCTGGCTTGCTGGAATTGGCTGTTCACCTTTTCTCCTGCCCTTGTAGCTTGGTGTGGAATGGGAGCAGGGTCACAGTGAAGGAGCTGAATCTTCAAGCCACCCAACAGCGCAGCAGCAGGTTGCGACTGGCAGACTTGCTAATTGCTGAGCAGGAGCACAGCAGGTGAGCCAGGAGACCCCATCTGTCGTGTGACCAGGTTGCTTTACAAACCCAGCATCCCTGTAGACCTGTTATGTATCTCAGCCTCAAAATTTGCCGACTTTGGGAATTGATTGACTTGATTTCCACGGGCTACCAAAAGGGAAAAGGGAATTGGTAAAAAGCCTGAGGGATTGGGACAGTGGTGGTGTGGGTCTCAACTGTGTTAGCCATTCCATGTCACTGTCCTCTCACGATGGACTTGGTGCATGGAGCCTATAATAACACACGTGCACCATGACTGATGGTTGAAAGCTGAAGTTTATTAGTGCCATCAAACTTTATAGACTAAGGGTCATATGGGATAAAGAAGGCGGTATTGAGCTTATCAACAAAACCCATCAACTGTTTCTGTACTTTTGTTTGGAACTCCTTTTGTTTTGTATATTCTACCAAGTGTTCTCATTCACATGCTGTCCACTCAACTGTTCCTCATACAAAGAATATCCAATTAGTCACACAAATGGCATCCATTTAGTTGTTTTCATACAAATGTTATCCAGTCAGTTATAATCCTGTGCTAGCTGGTCTTTCAGGGTCACAATGTCCATACAATTCCATAGCACCTAATTTTGGGTGGTCCAGCTTCTAGGCCCAGCTCATTCTCCTGCAACGGCTCTTGAGGCCCATCCCATTTGGGGCTGTGTGATGCACAGGTCTGAGGACCTTCTGTGCAGACATGGTCAACTTTGGTGTGAGACCAAATGGGAAGGAGGCCTGGGCCCAGTTTCTGATGTTTCTGAATCATTTCTAAAGTGATGATAGGAATACATTTTTTTCAGGTGACTGTTGGATCTCAGATGATGATGCTGAATGTACAGGGGCCTTGATCACTAGGTCCTGGCAGCATCCTTGTGGTTGATGACTCAGCCCTCAGGGGTTAATCGGTGTGGGACCACAGAGTCCACCGTGGAGACCCCCCTCCCCATCCTGTTTTCTTAGAAAGATTTGTATTCATTTTGTACACATTTGAAGACAAAACAGGACATCATGTGTGTTTTCATCATGTCCTCTGCTCCTCCATTCCATCTGAAGCTACTTTTCTTTTGTAGCAAACTGCGGCACCCCCACCTGCTACAGCTGATGGCTGTGTGTCTGTCCCAGGACCTGGAGAAGACCCGCCTTGTGTACGAGCGCATCACCATCGGCACGCTCTTCAGTGTCCTCCACGAGCGAGTAATTGGCCGTTTCTGTGCCTTTTCCTCTGGCTGCCTTTCTTCCCTGCCTTCCTCCTCCCACCCCTATCCCTGCCCCAGTGGTAGATTTGCCATTTGCACATGCGTGGAAGATGAGTCTCTTCATTGTTTTATTTTAAGGGGTCTGTGTTATGCACTGTTTCAGGCTGATAGGCACATGGCTAGAACCAGTTTGCTATTACTATTGTGAGTCGTCCTGCTTCCTTGCCAGACATCCAAGAGCTCAGCCCACCCAGATAACACTGCTGCATTTCTGGCTGTCTGTGATCTAACTGCCACCAGCTTTGTTTTCTTGCATTTTCACTTACTCATTTCACTTCATTGTGATTTGTTCACCCAAAAGCCTTTACCACTCCTCTCTCGCCTGTCATATGGGTCTGGGGTCGGGAGATGCCTCTAGGGCCAGTAGACAGTCTAGGAAGTGAACTTTGAGCTGAGACATGGCTTCTAGGAGCTCCTGGAGGATTAGGCCTTTTTTTCTCCATTAGGCCTTTTCCTCCATGCCCTTTTTTCTAAAAATCTTGGATAGGACTGCAGAAGGGCCCTTCCCAGCATGGCCTGCCATCCCTTACATATGGGGACCTCCTACTGGCCCTCCGATTTCTGTTTTCTTTGAGTGAGGGCATTACCTTAAAATGCCATTTCTGTGGGGGAGAGATTCAGGGTGACAGCTTGTTAAGTTGGTGTGAATTAATGTATGTCTTGGGATCTACTTTGCCATTCATTGGCGTGGACTAGAGGCTGAGCTTCTCTGTGTCCTGCGGGCTCCTGTGAGTGTCCAGGTCCCCTAGCTGCGTGGGTCTAGATCGGGAGGGGACAGGGCAGGGATGCTGGCTTCTGGCAGGGAGGACCTTCCCTGCTACTTTTCTTCAGACCACCTCTGGGTACGCATTATCGGACACTGAGAATTTTGTCCTAATTGTTTATGGCATAAAGCAGCTCAGTGAAAGGAAAGGAGCCCAGGTTTGGAGCTAGAGGGCCTGGGTTAGTGGGCCCTTAGGCCTGTCTTTTAACCTCTCTGTAGAATGGGAGCACACCAGGTGGCTGTGAAGATTAAACAGAAGACTGGAGATGACAAAGCACTTTGTAGTGTCAGGGCACATTTTCTCTCTCTTGCAGCGGTCCCAGTTCCCGGTGCTGCACATGGAGGTGATTGTGCACTTACTGCTCCAGATCTCGGATGCCCTGAGATACCTGCACTCCCGCGGCTTCATCCACCGCTCCCTCAGCTCCTACGCTGTCCACATTGTCTCCCCGGGGGAAGCGAGGCTCACTAACCTGGAGTATATGCTGGAAAGGTGAGTACAGCCTTGAGTGTAACCTCCTTCGGAAGGTCTCCCAGGGCCCTTTGCTCTAGGCAGAATCTGGTCCAAGCAGGGCTGTCTTACTGTCAGAGAAGAGGTTTCCAAATGCTGGCTTTGCCTGTAAGGTTAAAGTCACTTTGGGAAGTTACTTCTTTTCAGGACCTTCTCATTTTAATAAATATTTAACAATCAGCTATTAGTAAGATGTGCAAATACTCTGTTCACTCTAAGATTTTCAGTTGTTTGACTCAACAAAGTATATTTTTCACCTCGGAATTCAGTGTGTATGTACATGCACACGCAAGGGCACTGGGTTCTATGTTCCCTCATCCCTGGCTCTGCACAGTCCAGCTCTCATTTCCCCACTGTGTCCTTTGCACTGCTGGTTGGTGAGCAGGAGATGGCACGGAGGGGTGCGCGGTGGGCACTGGGGTTTAGCTCGCTGAGACTGGCCATCAGGACCAAGGGCCTCCATCAGGCTGTGTGCTTGAACCTGGTTTCCTATTGGGCTGGAGTCAGTCTGAGCTGGGAGTTGAACCCCATTTCTCAGCCCGAGTTGTGGGAGGCAGAGGATCTCCCCTCTACTTCCTTGCTGCCATCCACAGCTCTGAGCTGTGGGAATGCCTTTAGGCAGACTCCTACACCCACTTACCCCCTCTAAGCCTCCCACCCACTGCAACTAACGCTTTGTGTTTGAGTCTGTCAGTGCGACTTTGCAGTTCATCTCCTTGTCCCCTGATCCACGAGGGGAGGGGTTTCTGTTCTGTTTCCTGCTGCTGCTCAGCTGCTAGAACAGGATTGACCACAGCTGGCTCTCAGCATGTTTTCCTGACAAACAAAACTAACACCTTGCCTGTTCTTGTGCCTCTTGTCCTTCTGCCTGGAAAGGGCAGGGGCCAGACTGTGCTTGGCCTCATGGGTCTTGGTGAAAAAATCCAAGTCTTTTTTTTTTTTAAATAAGATTTATTTATTTTAATTGGAAAGTCAGATATACAGAGAGGAGGAGACACAGAAAGAAAGATCATTTGTCCTCTGATTCTCTTCCTAAGCAGCTGCAATGGCTGGAGCTCAGCCAATCCAAAGCCAGGAGCCAGGAGCTTCTTCCGGGTCTCCCACACGGATGCAGGGTCGCAAGGCTTTGGGCCGTCCTTAACTGCTTTCCCAGACCACAAGGGAGCTGGATGGGAAGCAGGGCTGCCAGAATTAAAACTGGTATACATATGCAAGTCGAAGACTTTAGCCATTATGCCACCACGCTGGGCCCGAAAGACATAAGTCTTACTCTAGATACAGAATGATGTGGAAGGGATTGTTTGAGCTGTTTGATGCCACATATAATTTTAAGGTTAAAAACATCCTTCTCAATTCTCTTTGTGGAGATGGGGCTGTTACAGTCAGGGCAGTAGTTCACATGTGGCGTGAAGTGTTTTTTCACATACTTTATCATAGCCAAAAGGCTAAGAATAATTTTTTTAAAAAGATTTATTTTTTTATTGGAAAGACGGATATACAGAGAGGAGAGACAGAGAGGAAGATCTTCCGTCCGATGATTCACTCCCCAAGTGAGCGCAATGGCTGAGCGCAATGGCTGATGCTATGCCAATCCAAAGCCAGGAGCCTCTTCTGGGTCTCCCACCTGGCTGCAGGGTCCCAAAGCCTTGGGCCGTCCTCGACTGCTTTCCTGGGCCACAGGCAGGGAGCTGGATGGAAAGCGGGGCTGCCGGGATTAGAACCGGCGCCCATATGGGATCCCGGGCGTGCAAGGCGAGAACCTTAACCACTTGCGCCACCGCGCCGGGCCCATGGTTTATATCTTGACTGCTCCACTTCCCATCCAGCTCCCTGCTTGTGGCTTGGGAAAGCAGTTGAGGATGTCCCAATGCCTTGGGACCCTGTGCGTGTGCATGGGAGACCTGGAGGTAAGCTTCAGACTCCTGGCTTTGGACCGGCTCAGTTCTGGGCATTGGAGTCACTTGGGGAGTGAACCAGTGGATGGAGCATCTTTCTATCTCTCCTTCTCTCTGTAAATCTGCCTTTTTGATATAAATAAATAAATAGTTTAAGAAAAAAACCCAAGCTGTTGGTCATGGATATAGCACCACCTGGTGTTGAGATGGAGGTACAGCAGTTTCTCATGCTTTCATTTTAATAATGGACTGGGGATCCTAAAGTGAAAATTGAGCTATGGAAATGGAAATAGCTACGCCCAACCTTGCCCTTTTTGTAGAAAAGGAAGCGGGCCACGATGAGAGGTGAGAGGTGGTGAGAAGTTCCCCAGTTGGTTGGTTTGGAGACACAGGCAGGGTTAGGATCTGGTGCTCAAAACTGCTCCCAGGCTACAAGGACAGGACAGATTCGAGGTTGACAGAAGGAAAACCAGCAAGGAGGCCATAGATGAGGCCCTTTTCCACCAAGGAACCAAAATGGAAAGGAAGGAGTTGAAATGCACCGAGAGCTGGGGTGAACGCCTCAGAGAATGGTAGGAGGATATGAGTTCCCCTCTGGGCTTACTGACCTCAGAATGGATCTTCAGGCAGAAATGCAGTCAGCACCAGTAACAGCTGTAGCAGCATGGGTTTCTTTAGAAGCTGATAACATGAAGGGATTGGTTATCCAGGAGTCCAGAATAGCTTCTGTTCTGCATTTATTTTTAGCCACATTCTTGTTGGGCATATTAGGCCTTTGTCATTGTGAAGGGTAACACTCCAGCTGTTTATGTGGAAAGGATGCAACAGTTGAAGTCCAAGTGCTTCAACTCCTTCTTAACAGAATGTTTAGAGTTGGAATCAAGCTTGAAGTGGTGTCATGGAGCTGTAACTGGATGTGATTTTAATGATGTCAAAACTAAGTCTATAAAAAGACCATCCTAGAGTGAATCTCAGAAGTCCCCCAAGCCCAGGGAGCTTTAAAAAAGGAGAAGGGAGAGCTGGTGCAGTAGCCTAGCAGCTAAAGTCCTTGCCTTGAACATGCCAGGATCCCAGTGGTTGCTGATTCTAATCCTGGAGGCCCTGCTTCCCATCCAGCTCCCTGCTTGTGGCCTGGGAAAGCAGGTCACAACACAGATGCAGATTTGGTGGCGGTCTTAGAAATCTTCAGGTTTTTTTGGTGGTAAACATTGAGACCCTTGTTGTAAATTCGGGAATGCAGTGACGTAAAAGACAAAGAAGCTCCTGTCTTCATGAACCTGACTCTAGTATGGGGGACAGGTAATAAACTAAATGAATGAACATGAATGGAAGTGCTCTGAAGCCAATACAATAGGACCACTTTTTTTTCTACTTTAAAAAAATTTTTTAGGGCCCGGCGCGGTGGCGCAGTGGTTAAGGTCCTCGCCTTGCACGCCTGGGATCCCATATGGGCGCCGGTTCTAATCCCGGCAGCCACGCTTCCCTTCCAGCTCCCTGCCTGTGGCCCAGGAAAGCAGTCGAGGACGGCCCAAGGCTTTGGGACCCTGCAGCCAGGTGGGAGACCCGGAAGAGGCTCCTGGCTTTGGATTGGCATAGCATCGGCCATTGCGCTCACTTGGGGAGTGAATCATTGGACAGAAGACCTTCCTCTCTGTCTCTCCTCTCTGTATATCCGCTTTTCCAATGAAAAAATAATAAAAATAAATCTTTTTAAAAATTTTTAAATACATTTTATTTTTTATAATAATTACATGGTGGATCAGGGTAGGAAGGATAAAGGTTTAGAGAAAATTGAGTGTACTCATTGCTTCCAAATTTGCTATTTCTTGTTGCTTCTGGGGGAAGGGGAGAGACAAAGGGGGAAACAACTCATGACTTTCCACACGTCCCAGTACCCAGGGATGAGGAACCACCACCTCATATCAGCCCAGAGTCTCAATGTGTACACGTTCCCTGGGTTCTGTCCAAGTGGTTTGGACAGTTCTGAAATGCTGCTGTCACCCTCCCAGTGTCCATTTTCTCCACTCACAGATTTTTTGCTGTCATCATTTGTTTGGGGTGGTTGTCCAGTTAGTTCTGTTCTTCTGCTACAGCACCAAATGAGTTGCCATATTCTTTTGCAACAGGGCCTGTGGCCACTGCTCTCCCTTTTTCATTAAGAACATTACATGTTTTTAACATTTCATCAAAAACATTACATGTTCTTTTAGGTGAGTCTAAGTACTCGGGCCAGGCAACCCAAGTCCCATCAAATCTCCCACCCGGGGGTTCATAAACCAGACACCCACCTTGTAGGCAGGCCAAGGGACCTGAGCCCTGCTGAATTCCCCATCTCTCGGGCTCACGAACCCGGCACCCACCTAGTAGACAGGCGCTGAGCCCTGGGCCATGAGACCCAAGCCTGGCTGGATCCCCTACCTCTCGGGCTCACAAACCCGGCACCCACCTCACAGACAGGCCCCAGGATCTGAGCCAGACGACCCAAGCCCTATGAGTTCCCCCATCCCCAGGGCTCAGTAACCCGGCCCCCACCACAAAAGTGGACCCCACGACCTGAGCCAAGCTACCCGAGCCCTCTCAGACCCCCATCCCTGGGACTCACAAACCCAGCCCCTCACTGGGTCCAGGCTGACATGACTCACCTCACCTCAACGTCCACAATCTTGAGATTATGTCCATTCTCTCTATTCACTAAGATTTGAGGGCCCAGCACAGCCTGGCTTAGGCTAGTCTGCCCCCGTTCCAGCTCCTAATGGTGGGTGCTGCAGTCTGTCGCAGCCCAGCCTGATTGCTGTCCCAGAATAGGATCACTTTAGATTAGGTGGTCAAAGAAGACCTCCCTGAGGAGGCACCTTGGTTTTGGTAAGATTTATTTATTTATTTGAAAAATTAATAGAGAAAAGGGGGAGATCGTCCATCTGCTGGCTCACTCCCCAGTTGGCTGCAACAGCCAGAACTGATCTGATCTGAAACCTAGAGGCAGGAGCTTCCTCTAGATCTTCCACGTGGGTGCAGGGGCCCAAAGCCTTGGGTCATTTTCCCAGAGCGTAAGCAGGGAGCTGAGTCAGAAGTGGAGCAGCCGAGACATAAACTGAGTAGACAGCCATATGGAGTGTTAATGATTCAGGTGGAAGCTTAGCTTACCACGCCATGATAGTAGTGGCTTAGAACTAATGCTTCCCTCATTAGAAGTGGCTAGTTGCTCTAGGATCTGTGATAACATGCCAAGTAGAAGCCTGCGGTGCATGACATGAAGTGTGATACATGTAACATGTTGAAGAACTGAAAGAAAAGCTTTGTTGAACAGAGTGAGTAGGAGAGAGGGAACAGATTAAGTGGGAAGCATGATGGCTCACGGGAGTGAGAACAGTGCTGAAGCAGTGAGTCAGCTCAGTCTCTGGCAAGGTTTCCAGGGGCTCACGAAGCTTGCCTTTATGTTTCCTCTGTAGCCAGGATGGAGGTGTACAAAGGGACCTGACTCGAGTGCCTCTCCCCAGCCAGTTGTACAACTGGGCTGCACCGGAAGTGATCTTGCTGAAGGCAGCCACAGTGAAGTCTGACATCTACAGCTTCTCTATGATCGTGCAGGAGATGTTAACAGGTGACGAAAGCACACACTGATGGTGGACCACAGTCCTTACTTGTAGACTTGTAGGTTGGATTTTTTCCCCCACCCTCGAGTAGTTTTATAAAAACAAAGGACTAAAAAAAAGTCTTAAAGGAAATCTGTTTATGGAAAAGACAGAATGATCTCAAAAGTCTCTCTTTTAGCTATTAAGATGCAAAGAAAGCCCAGCTATCGGGTTGCTAATTATAGTACATTGAATTCAAACCAAGTTTTTTTAAAAGATTTATATTTATTGGAAAGTCAGATATACAGAGAGGAGGAGAGATAGACAGGAAGATCTTCCGCCCGATGATTTACTTCCCAAGTGACCACAACAGCCCGAGCTGTGCTGATCTGAAGCCGGGAGCCAGGAGCTTCTTCTGGGTCTCCCACGCAGGTGCAGGGTCCCAAGGTGTTGGGCACCCCTTCCAGGCCGCAAGCGGGGAGCTTGCTGGGAAGTGGGGCAGCCAGGATTAGAACCAGTGCCCATATGGGATCATGGTGCATTCAAGGTGAGGCCTTTAGCCATTAGGCCTCTGCACCAGGCCCAGCCTTAGGAACTTGTATGTGAAAACTGATTGGCCTCTGAGGGTAAAACATGAAATTAAACACCCCCAAGGCCCAGTAAGTGTATAAATAGTGCTGATTGAAGGAAACAGAAACCCTTCCAAATCAACATGACTTTAGTGTGAAGGGAATAGTTCCCATAGCTAGACAGTAAAACTTCTTCAACAGAGATATGCACATATACAGATAGTAAAATCACAGTTACTGAGGAGTCAATGAGAAGGAGCCATTTCGCAGTCTGTGCAGTCCCATTAGCAAACTGCATTTTCCATGAAATGAATGTGTTGGGCAACCCAGCTTAACGCCACCTAACTTTTCCCATACCAAGGTCTGCCAGTGGAGAGCCCATGAATATGTATCGCTGAGAATACCATTTCCTGTCTCTGTGGCAGGGATCTCCTTGGCAAGTGAGGAAGGTAGATGAAGTGAGGAAGGTAGATGAAGTGAGGAAGGTAGATTCTCATTTGTGACTGGGCTTACAGGTAGGTTCCCTCCCAGCCCCCTAGACAAGAACTTAACTAACTTACAAAACTTTGTCTTAGTATTATTTTTTTCTATGAATTTTTCTTTATAGACAACATACCCTGGAATGGTATAGATGGTTCAGTTATTAAAGAAGCCATAGTCTTAGGAAATTATTTAGAAGCGGATGTCAGACTTCCAAAACCTTACTATGATATTGTTAAGTCAGGCATCCAGATCAAGCAGAAAGACCGAACTATGAACCTTCAAGATATCCGGTATATTCTGAAGAATGACTTACAGGTAATTCCTAAAGCTTTTGAGAGTTTATTTCTGGCTCAGCCATCCGGGGGTGGAGAGCTGGAGACTTAAGAAGAAGCTGAAATAAGATGTAAGGAGTTTTGGAAGTCCTTATTTTGTTATTCGCTTTGTGGGTGGCAGGAGACTGAGGACTAGATCGGGGAGGTTCAACTGTGGGACATGGTGGAGAGCCCATGAATGGCAGCTGTTGCTTCAAGATACTGATAATGACAACAAGTTCATTAGGACTACGGTATCCAAGAGGAGTAAGAAGAAATTTTGTTTATACCTTGATTGGTTTCTTTCTTTTTTGTTTAAGATTTATTGTTATTTATTTAAAATGTAGAGCTACAGAGGGAAGAAGAGACAGAATCTTGTATTCACTGCTTCACTCCCCAGATGACTATGGTGGCTGGGGCTGTGGAAGTCAGCCAAGGCTAGATATCTGGATCTCCACATGGTATCCCACATGGGTCGCAGAAACAGCAAGCACTTGGGCCATCTTCCACGTTTCCCAGGATTAGAAGTGGAGACCTTAGAACTTGAACCAGTGACCATATGGGATGCTGGAATCACAGGCAGGAGCTTAACCAGCTATGCCACAGTGCCAGCTTTGTCTTGATTGATTTCTGAAACACCAGTGATATTCAAGTGACAGCAGATACACCCTTGACAACATCTCCTGTGTTACAGGAATTTATTGCTGTCCAGAGAACTCAGCCACCCGAGAGCCCCAGGGTGCAGAGATGTGAACCTCATCCTGACAGCAGCTTCTATTTAGGACTGACTTCAGAGCAGCCAAAGGAAACCCTCAACTTGGAAATCAAAGAAATAAAGGAAATGGGTATGGCCCCAATTCACACCTTAAACATTACATTGACACTGTTATGTTCTGAGAGTCAGTGCAACTGATTGACTCTTCCAAAGTGTATGTGGAATTTACATTAGGAGGGAAAAATGAATGTTTTAGGGAGAAATTAAGATCCTTAAGATTGTATTACATTTGGCGGGCTTTGTATATGCTTGAGTTGGATTCAGAACTAAGTAGTTCTGAATTTATTGTTCTGAGTTTATTGTTAGCATGATTACTTACAAGAGTTTATCTAATTGGGTCACAAATAAAATGCTTTTTTTTGGAAAGATCTATTTATTTGTTTGAAAGGCAGAGTTACAGAGAGAAAGGAGGAGACAGGTCCTCCATCTGCTGGTTTATCCCCAAATGGCTGCAATGGCTGGGGCTGGGCTGGACTGACTGGTCAGGAGCCAGGAACTTCTTCCTGTTCTCTCAGGTGGGGACAGGAGCTCAAGCATTTGGGCCATCTTCTGCTGCTCTTCCAGGCACATGCAGGGAGCTGTACCAGAACTGGACTAGCCTGGGTTTGAACCAGCATTCCTATGAGATAACAGCACTACAGGCAGTCTTTGCCCTCTATGCCATGGCGCCAGCCCTGTTATATTTTATTTTTAAAGATTTATTTATTTATTTATACTGCAAAGTCAGATATACAGAGAGGAGAGACAGAGAGGATTCACTCTCCAAGTGAAAAAAACAACGGCCGGTAGCTGAGCCAGTCCAAAGTCACGAGCCAGGAACTTCCTCAAGGTTCCCACATGGGTTCAGGATCCCAAGGCTTTGGGCTGTCCTCGACTGCTTTTCCAGTCCACAGTCAGGAAGCTTGATGGGAAGCGGGCCTGCCGGGATTCAAACCAGAGCTGATATGGGATCCTGCTGCATTAAAAGTGGGGACTTCATTCAGCCACTAGACCATCTCAGCAGACCCAATTCCATTTTTTTTAAAGATTTATTTATTTTTATTACAAAGCCAGATACACAAAGAGGAGGAGAGTCAGAGAGGAAGATCTTCTGTCCAGTAATTCACTCCCCAAGTGAGTGCAACGGCCGGTACTGCGCTGATCCGAAGCCAGGAACCAGGAACCTCTTCTGGGTATCCCACACGGGTGTAGGGTCCCAAAGCTTTGGGCCGTCCTCGACTGCTTTCCTGGGCCACAGGCAGGGAGCTGGATGGGAAGTGGAGCTGCCAAGATTAGAACTGGCCCCCATATGGGATCCTGGCGTGTCCAAGGCAAGGACCTTAGCTTCTAGGCCACGCCACCAGGCCCAACTCCATTATGTTTGAATTTAAAATTACTGTGTGCTCATTTTAGAAAATTCAGAACCATAGAAAAAAAGAAAATTACAATTTTAATTTCACCTCTTAGAAAAAAAGAGTTAGCATTTTGCCATCCCTTTCAACTTTTTTCTTTTTTCCTTCTTTATGGCTATTAAGTGCATTTGGAAAGCTTAGAATTCAGAGCCAGCACCTTGCAATCATCAGCCTTAATGGTCCCACACTACAGATGAGACAACTAAGAAGGATATGATGTGCTCAGGATCAGAGAGCCTGTTAGAGAATAGAAGCCATGTTGTCCAGTTGCAGCCAGTGGCCATTCACTGACTTGCCCTTCGACAGTTTAGGCCTCCTAAGTTCTCATTGTTTTATCTCCTTCATCCCATTCTCTGAAATTTGTGTACTTTTCAACCCAGAGTGGTGGGTGGCTAGTGCTGGCATTGTTTTTCAGTTATTTATCCCTGCTGTGATGCAGGGAGAGTGTGATCTTCCATTTGCTGGTTTACTCCTGTACATGGCTTCTACAGACAAGGCTGGTCAGGCTGAAGCCAGGAGCCAGGAACTCCACCTGAATCTTTGACTTGGATAACAGGAACCCAGATGCTTAGGTTATCTTCACTTTCTGGATGGGACGTGAAATAGCCAGGACCCAAGCGCCACTCCAGTGTGGGATGCAATGAGGCGTGCCTCAGGTGCCTCAGGTTTAACCTGCTGTGCCACGATCCTGGTCCTTCTCAACTGTCTTTATCAGGTACTCACCTAGAGCATAATCTCAGCTGATGTGAACAGTTGGAACTTTTCAGTGTAAAGAAAGCTATGAATGTCGGGGCCTGGAATGGTAGTCTAGTGGCTAAAGTCCTTGCCTTGCAAGTGCCGGAATCCCATATGGGCACCGGTTCTAATCCTGGCAGCTCCACTTCCCATCCAGCTTCCTGTTTGTAGCCTGGGAAAGCCGTTGAGGATGGCCCAAACCCCTGGCTCCTGGCTTCAGATCATCTCAGCTCTGGCCATTGTGGCCAGTTGGGGAGTGAATTATCAGAGGGAAGATCTTCCTCTCTGTCTCTCCTCCTCTCTGTATATATGACTTTCCAATAAAAATAAATAAATCTTAAAAAAAAGGAAGAAAGGTATGAATGTAGTCTTTAAGATTCAGGAGCCTGTACTTCCCACTGCCTGACAAGAGTGTTTTGGACATATTGTAAGTAAAGCATATTTCCTATTTGACCCCACCCATCACTCCTTCTTGCCCCACCTTGTGCTCCCAAATTTCTGCCTCATCCTTTGTCAGAGTGGAAACCTTCCCTCCAGTTATAAAGGTCCTCTTACCCTCTGATGAGTATATGCAACAGTCACCAGGAAAAGAGTGAAAACAAGCTTTCTGTATGCTTGTGCTTCTCAAGCAGAAAGCTGAGTCTGCTTAGCTGCTGTGAACGCTGTAATCAGTTGCTTGTTGCTGTTCTTTTAAACAGGCGGTCAGCCTCATTCACCAAGGAGTCACTCTTCTCCCACTGAGCAAGCCACTCCAGATCCTTTGACCCCGGATCCAAGTCTGACAGCCCAGGAAACTCCGCATCAGCCTAGCCCTCCCCCTGCCTCCTCGGTGGCTGAGGAGGCCCAGAGCCACAGCCCCAGTCGGCCAAGCCTCTGTAGCTTCGAAATGAACGAATTCTACTCAGGCAGCTTGGACCTGGGAGATGACCAAGAAGATACAGGAGCCACTTCGTCTCCGGACAGGGAGAGACCAAACCAGGCAGATGAGCTACAGTCCATGGAGGAAGAGCTAGACAAGATGGAGAGCGAGGCATGCAGCTTCTGTTCCAAGAGCTCTTCGGAAACTGACTCTGAGCTCTCCTCTGGGGACTGGGACTGGCAAAATGATTCTCTTAGTTCACTCAGCCTCCCTGAGCCAACCAGAGAGGCCCAAGGCACTGTGAGCAACAGGTCCATGACCGAAGAGTATATCAGTAAGTGTGTGCTGAATCTAAAGATTTCTCAGACGTTGATGCACCAGAATGCGGAGATGCTGAGGAGTGTTGAGCAGAAAATAGTTGAGGTGGAGATGGCGCATAGGGAGCTGGAGGAGCGCAGACTGCTGTCGGAGGCCTCGCGGAAGCTGTCCAATGTCCTCAGTTTACCCAAAGCCGTGGGCCCTCCATCTCTGATTTACATCCCTCCCATCATGCAGCTGCCTGGGAGCCAGCAGACAGACACCAGGGGCAACTGCCCAAGCCTGGCAAGGTCTCTCAGAGCAACTAGAGACTTTCAGGGAGGACAGTTTGACAAAAGACCCAGAAAAAGAAGTGGCAGTGACTGGAGACCTCTCACTCACGTTTCTGAAGAAGGCCCTGGACATCAGTCAGAGACAAGAAGACCTCAGGTAAGGTTATGTGGGAGCAAGGGCAACTTGAGTAGGACTCATGGCTGAGTTGAGCATTGCCCCTGCCTTAGGCGAATGCAAGCAGTGCCCAGCAAGGGGCTCTTGTCTTCAGCAGAAAAGGCCTCGAGGGTGGAATTTCAAGGTAGACAGGTTCCACCTTCATGGCAAACCCTATCCTTCATAGATTGATTGGCTTACTTCCTGAGGTGAGGTTTCATAGGTCAAATAGTGGGAATTTCACATGGTTCAATCTACTACATATGGTATTTTGGGCAGGTATTAATTCCCATTTTAAAATTGCTTAATCATTCATTTATTCATTGACTCGGTACACATAGAGCCAGAGGCTATCTTAGACTCTGGAATATGATGAAGAAGCCGCAAGTGCTGCCTGTAAGAAGATCAAATGCCCGCCTAGGACTGAAGCCTTGCTGGTCAAAGCAGGTGCCTCAGGAGAGCTGAGCTGACAGCTGAGAGGCTGGCCTGAGACGCTGGAAGCCCAGTGAGGTTCTGGGCTGGTTCTTCTACAGTGCGTGCCAGAAAGGGCCTAGTTCTCAGCCTGTGTCTCATTCCAGTGTGGAGCCTGACACCTGCCTACAGGTCTTTTAAAATTTTCTCTTTAATATTGTTTACATAGTTGAGAGGGATGCACGACCCTTTAGGTCTCTGATTAGAGTGGGGAGGGTCGAGGTATGGAGGAAGCTGGGTGGGACAGATACTTTAGTTATTTTCTTTTTATTCACCCTGCTTGCTGGGGTGAGGGGAGGGGACTGCTCCTTGCTGTCTAACTGTATCAGCCCCTGGATGGCATCTCAAAGATCCCGACGTGGGGAAGAGTGTTCCAAGGGTGCTACTTGAATGGTTTTGATAGCTCTGAGGATGACTTTGCTTTCATTGCTACAGGATTGAGAAAATCTTCCCAAGGTCTGTTGGTTGACCAAGTCCACCTCAGTGTGTGTCCATAGCTCCCCAGTCACTTGCTGCAAAGCTTGTCCTGGAGAATTCTTTAAATTGTTCTGATTTTCATCCTCTCACAACGCAGTCGGCATCCTTTGCTGGCCTAGATGAGCTGGCTGTCATGTCCCTCTATGCATCTGGGCATGCTGTCTATCCACTGTATGCAGCTGTATGCATGCATATGTCCCTGTGTGCATCTGGGCATGCTGTCTATGCACAGCAACTGAGGAGGCCCAGTCCCGATATGTGCTTTCCAAGGTCAGACCACATACCTTGTAATTTCCCCTGAGGCCGAGGTTTGATTCTGGTGATTTAGTAGGGGAATTTCCCCAAGAAGCTTCACCTGGGGTGACCTCAGACTTGACTCTTAGATGTGCCAACCAATGCAGGGTCAGGTTTGGTCTATCACCTGTATTAGCCAATGCATGTACCAGTGTATGCAACTGCCTGGTCAGTTCCGCTGCCAGCTCCAACTCTCCCCTGAACTGATGGGTACTGTGACCTAGCTTAGCCCAACACACACCAGCAGCTGCCACAGCCTCGTCAGAACAACCCCTAATAACCCATAGCAGGCCTGTCCCCGGCCCCGGTTTTTGGCTGTCCCAGCATGTGCTGTAGCCTAGCCTGGTCTGTCTCACATTCCATTCAAAAGCACTAGCAGGTGCGGGGGTCTAGCCCAGCACAGTCCACCCAGAGCACCAGCTCTTGCATTCACTAGTGGTAGCTGCAGCCCAGCAGGGGGGGGGTACCAGTGTTGCTGTACCGGGCCTGATCCCAGCCCCAGTTCTTGTGTGTTGGTGGGTGCTTCGACCTGGCCTGGCATAGCCTGATCTAAGTCTTAACTCTTGCTGGGGACTGTTGCAGCCTATCCCAGCCGTGCATGGTCTACACGCTGTCCTGGCTTTCGTGCATGCCAGCAGGTGCTGCAGCCTGACCCATCCCCAGCCCAGGTTCCTGTGCTCCCTGTGGTATAGTAGGTGAGATCCCCAAGTTGTACCAGGCCTTCTCCCAGCCCTGGATCTCATGTATGCTAGCAAATGTCATGGTGCCTTCTTGGCTTGATCTGCTCTTAGTCCTACCCTTGCATGTGCTGGTGAGTGCTGTAGCCTGGCCCAGCCTGGCCTCCTTCCAACCCAGATTCCCTCAAGTGTCAGGTGGGTTCCTGTTAAGTGGGTTCTGCTGTCCAGCCTGGCTTGGCCCGTCACCATCCCCAGTTCTTGAGTAAACTGGCGGTACTGCAGTACCACAGAGGCAAGCCCAAAAGTCCCCTACAGAATCTGTTTCCAGATATGATTTGTGTTCCAGTTGGTGCTGTGGCCCAACCTAACATGGCCTACCCCCTACCCTGACATTTCTAGGGGGTTAGCCCTACCAGGCATGTCCCCAGCCACAGGTTTTGTAAGTTCCACTGGGTGGCAGAAAGTGCTACTTAGTCCAGCCCAGGTTTCCCTGGGTGGTTGAGTGCCTTGGCCTGACCCAGACATGGCCTCTGGCTTCCCCCTCAAACCACCCCAACTCAGCTCTCTTGCCTACCTGCAAGCACAGTGGCCCAGTCCCTGGAAGACACTAGAAGTCATTCCTTCGCTGTGTTACCTGCCCTCAGGTGCTCCCACTCCAACACTTCCCCAGACCCCCTTTTCTGGGCAGTTTCCAGCACACACACACCCACCCTCATTCCCCTGCCTTGCCTGAGTGCTAGGGTTGTGTTTCCTTTCCCAGAATTTCCTAACTCTCTATGTATCTTTAAAAAAAAAATAGGCAACTGTGTTGGCACACGTATAGTTCATGCAGAGGTGGCATTAACCAGGCCCAGGATGCCTTCCACATTTTGGCTGCTTTTCTCCCAGCAGTGTAACACTTGCCAAATAAAAGACAGCCTAGGCAATTGCTTGCATTTATATAGCTGTTTGCATTTTTGTTTGGTTATGTTTTACTTTCATTTATTTATTTTTGAATCTTATTTTTACCGGAAAGGCAGATTTACAGAAAGTGAGACAGAGAGAAAGACCTTCTGTCTGCTGGTTCACTCCCCAAGTAGCCGCAGTGGCCAGAGCTGAGCTGATCCAAGGCAGAAGCAAAGGAATTGAACAGACATTTCTCTCTCTTTTTAAAAAAAAATTTTTATTTGTTTATTTATTTTATTATATATATATTTTAATTACATTGTATTATGTGACACAGTTCTATATAGGCACTGGGATTCCCCCCACCCCTCTCCCAACCCTCCTCCCATGGTGGGCTCCTCCCCCCATTGCACAACCACAGTTCAGGTTTAGTTGAGATTCCTTCATTGCAAGCATACACCAAGCATAGAGTCCAGCATCTCATTGTCCGGTCAAGTTCAGCGGCTTCTTGGGGAGACCCTCCCCGGTCCGAAGGCAGAGCCAACAGAGTAGAATCCCGGTCAATTAAAAACCCCAACATAACATCAGCAACAATATATAACGTTAAGGGATAAATTGACAAAGTATTGAGCAACCAATTTGTCAAAATTGGATGCATGATCTTAACGGCTTCCTGTGGCTATTTCAATGACATTTCAACAATTGAGGTGCGAAACAGTTTTAGGAAGGGTGTGCAGAGAAATCTTCCATACCTTGGTGAGGAGTACTTAATCCCCTTGTCCTACCTAGTAAGGTGTGTGTGAGTCCAGGCTGACCAAGCCTTCCTTGTTGTTCTCTGCCTATCCATTCCAATTTGTGAGTGTGTGTGTGTGTGTTGCCGGGGGGGGGGGCTCTGGAGCATCCCTCTTGGTCATTGCAGAGAGGGTGAGGACCCGAAGTTGGAGCTAAGTAAGAATCAGAGATAGCTCCTCCCCCTAGTCCTGAAGGGAGTTTACTGATCTTCTGTTTCTGAAGACCGCTCAGGTTTCCTAGTTGTTGTTCCGATGGCCTTGGATCCTATGACGAAGGATTCAGCTTCTTCCATCCCGTGTGGTAGGTCCAAAGTGGGGGGATGTCCTCTGAGTTCTCAGCCTCCGAAGGCATTCCAGTCCCCCGTGGTCTCTTTGGCAGTTGGGATGTGGTCCTTGGCGCCCGTACTGATAGCCCTTGATGGGGATCCGGGAGACTCCAGGTTTGGGATACAAGCCTCCTCCTGCCTACCTGCTCCACTCTGTGGTCCCCCACTGCTCTGTGCACATGACCTCCTGTTAATAGGTTGTCAGGGTCGCTCTTGATTCCCCCTATATGTCTTTGTAGTTTTACTGTACAGACATTTCTCAAAAGAACAAAATGAAATAGCTGGGCCTGGCACGGTGGCCTAGAGGCTAAAGTCCTCACCTTGCATATGCTGGGATCCCATATGAGTGCCAGTTCTAATTCCGACAGCTCCACTTCCCATCCAGCTCCCTGCTTGTGGCCTGGGAAAGCAGTCGAGGATGGCCCAAAGCATTGGGATCCTGTACCCGTGTGGGAGACCTGGAAGAAGTTCCTGGCTCCTGGCTTCGGATAGGCACAGCACCGGATGTTGTGGTCATTTGAGGAATGAGTCATCAGATGGAAGATCTTTCTGTCTCTCCTCCTCTTGTATATCTGACTTTGTAATGAAAATAAAATCTTTTTAAAAAATGAAATAGCTAATGGACACATAAAAAAAAAATGCTGAGGCTCCCTAGCTGTCAGGGAACTACAAATGAAAACCACATTGAGGTTCTACCTAACTCCAGTGAGACTGGTCTACATTCAACTCTACTAACAACACCTGCTGGTGTAGATGTGAGGGAAAGGTACCCTCCTTCACTGCTGGTGGGAGTGTAGCTAGTACAGTCACTATAGAAGTCAGTGTGGAGAGTGCTACGGGGACTGGTAGTTGACCTGCTATATGACCCAGCTGTCCCACTTCCAGGAATGTATCCAAAGGAAATGAAATCTGCATATGAGAAAGGTAATCATATATACATTAAATATATATTTTTTTAAATTTGAAAGGTAGAGTTACAGAGAGAAGAAAGAATGGTCCCACAATTGCTGGCTATTCCCCAAATGACCCCACCAAGTCAGAGCTGAGCTGCTTAGGAACCAGGAGTCTCTTCTGGGCCTCTCACGTGGATGCAAGGGCCCGAGGATTTAAACTATTATCCACTCCTTTCTCAGGCCATTAGCAGGGAGCTGGATTAAAAATGGAGCGTCTTGGCCTGGCGTGGCCTAGCAGCTAAAGTCCTCTCCTCTCATGCGCCGGGATCCCATATGGGCGCCACTTCTAATACTGCTGGCCCCGCTTCCCATCCAACTTCCTGTGTATGGTCTGGGAAAGCAATTGAGGACGGGCCAAAGCCTTGGAACCCTGCACCCGTGTGGGAGACCTGAAAGAGGCTCCTGGCTTTGGATCAGCTCAGCTCCAGATGTTGCGGCCACTTGGGAAGTGAATCATTGGATGGAAGATTTTCCTCTTTGTTTCTTCTCCTCTCCACATATCTGACTTTCCAATAGAAATAGATAAATCTTAAAAAAAAAATAAGTGGAGCATCCAGGATAATAATTGGTGTTCATATGGTATGCTAGTGCTACAGGCACCCATATGTGCTCCCGGTACATTCAAGGCAAGCACTTTAGCTGCTATGCTATTGCACCAGGCCCCAGAATTATCTTCTAAGAGGCATGGGAAGTTTTAGTTTTCATTTAGAAAACCAACTGGATGCAATGGAGATGCTTGGCTGAGACTAGGTGTGGAATGATGAAAAATCAAGGGCACAAGGAGAGGCCACATGGGGACTTCCTGACTTTCTGGATTTGCCCAACATCCAGCTGAAAGCAGCTGGGCGAGTGTGCTCAGGCACCAAGCCGCACCCAGCTGAACCTTGTCAAATTCCTGCCCCACGGAATTGTGAGTGCGCATGCAATCTTCCTTCCAGCGGGGTCATCTCTCATTCCTGACCCTCCTTGGCAGTACCACTAGACCCTGGCAAGTTTCCATCACTGATCTCAAGCTCTAAGATAGCAAGGTTAATCCATGAATTCTTCCAGCTCCAAAACTCTGTGATCCAAGATGCAGCCTTCATTTTACGAGTGAGCTTGTTCATATTCATCCATTCCTTCACTCCTACGGTGACCACCGGTCAAGAACCTCTATACAAAAAAGAAGAAAAATAAGAGAATAAAATGGGGCCCAGTGTGACAGCCTTGCATGCGCTGGCATTCCATAAAGGCGCTGGTTCATATCCTAGCTGCTCCACTTCCCATCTGGCTCCCTGCTTGTGGCCTGGCAGGGCGGTCGAGGACGGCCCAAAGTTAGTTATTTGAAAGGCAGAGTGACACACAGAGAGAAGAGGCACACAGGTTTTCTCTCTGCTGCCAGGATTAGAACCGGCGCCAATATGGGATAGCGGCACGTGCAAGGCAAGGACTTTAACCACTACGCTATCACACCAGACCCTGTAGCTTTTACTTTTACTATATTTTATTTTCATGGCATCCTCACTGGTGGATGTTATTGTCCAGATTTATGGGTAAGGAAAGAAGCTGTAGTACAAAACTCTTTTAGGTTATTCTGAGTGAGGCTTAGACCAGTTTCCAAGGCTCAGGGTTCCTGCCATGGAAATATACCTTCATATTAACATGAGCTCCTATGTGTGAGGCTGGGTGGATCTCAGGAACACATTAGGGTTTTGATAACTGTCTTCCTGCCCTCTCTATGTGTGTGTACTTTGCTGACCAGTTTCCTGCAGGCCAGCATTTCTGGTCAAGGCTACCAGGTAAGTAATGGGGCTCGGGGACAAGAAACATGCAACGGGAAATCATGTTGATAGATCTGGTACGTTGGACGTGTTTAACCAACATGGCTCTGGAGGTGGAGGGTGAGAGTGGCAAGAAAGGGAATTCTCTCATCGCAGCGCTGAAGCCTGTTTGTTTTTTTTAAGCAGGTAGCTCTTGGTAGTCCTGGGAAGGATAACACGGGTGAGCAATTTGAGCATGCTCAAGAAGCCAGGGTCAATCTGGGAAGAAGCCAGGACCAGAACACTAGTAGGTGGGTCCGCATCTTACTGTTCTTTGTGTTGCCATGCCCTGCACTCCATGTGGCCCTGAGACTCTCAGGATCTTCATAAGTCCAGTGACAAAGGACTGTGACAAAGAGCTGTGCAGAAATAGCTCTTGACAGGCTCTCTGCTAAGTGTTGGGAAAAAATATGATGGAAATACATAAAAGTGCTTCCACATTGACCAGACAGAACTGTTACACCTCAAAAGCCAACTGGCACTGTGCTGTAGCAAGGCAAGCCACCACCTGTAGCACCAACATTCCATATGGGGACACTTAGTGTCCTAGCTGCTCTCGTCCAGCTCCCGGCTAATACACCTGGGAAAGCAGCAGAAGTAGGCACAGGTGGGAGGCCTACATGAAACTCCTGGCTCCTGGCTTTGGATCGGCAATGCACCAGTCATTGCGGTCACTTGGGGAGTGAATCATCGGATGGAGATCTTCCTCTCTGTCTCTCTTCCTCCCTGTATATCCGCCTTTCCAATAAAAGTAAATAAATCTTAAAAAAAAAAAACTTGCTATGAGATCAGCTTTAACAAAAAATATTATGCATGAGATCGTACAGGGTTTGTGTTTCTATGGCAATTGTGATTGTCTTCTGAAAATTTCCCAAGAGCACTTTTAGAATCATGAAATCTAAACTTGTAACTTGAAAGAAATCTTAGAGATCTTCTAACTGGGTCTTTTCATTTCTTAGCCAAGGAGGGATGAAACAGTCCAATACCCATGCCAAAGTCACACCACTAAATAGCATACCCTTGATCTTGTCGAGCCTCCCGCAGGGACCTCCGTGTCAGGACTCTGCCAGGTAAAGCGTCTGGCAGGACAGGGGAAGGGTGGTGGTGGTCTTGCACCCTCTGGTGGTGGGAAGCAGTCGGTGCAACCTCAAGAATAACGGAGTAGGGGGCATTTTTTGGTTGGTCTTCAGAACTGTTAGGAATTTGAATGAACTGATGTTTGTGTCCATTTCCCTCTCATGCCCTCTCTCCCAAAAAGGGTTACTGTAGAGGCTGTGCCTTCTGAAATCTCTACTGCAAAGTCAAGAAATAAAGAAGATGATGGAAGGGTACACTTAAGATGGAAAAGTGAGTATAAAATCATGAAATGTTAATCAGAATGAAGCAAGACACGTTTCTAACCTGGTACTTGTTAGTATAAATTCTTCTAATTCTTTTTTTTTTTTTAAGATTTCTTCATTTCTATTGGAAAAGGAGGGTTTCTTTGTGTGTGTGTGTTTGTTTGTTTTTGTTTTTGTTTCTCAAATCAGAGAGACAAAGATCTATCCGCTGGCTCACTCCTCAAGTGACTGTAATGGCCAGTGCTAAGCTGAGCTGATCCAAAGCCAGGACCCAGAAGCACGTGCAGGGTCCCAAGGCTTTGGGCCATCCTCTACTGCTTAGCCAAGCTACAAGCTTAGAGCTAGATGGGAAGTGAAGCAGCCAGGACATCAACTCATTAGGGATGGTAGTGTCACAGTTGGTGGCTTGATCTGCTACATCACAATGCTGGCTGCTTATCTTAAACTTCAAAGGAAACTATAGAAAAATAGAAATGAAGCTATGCATATATGTGCATCCACCCCAAACTGAGATTGAAGCCTTCTGGAAAGCCTAGAGAAGTTTAGAATCCTTTCTGACAACTACTACAGACTGAAAACTGCAGCTCTCATTTCTCTTGTTAAGTCAGCAAGAAAGTTCACTTACAAGTGTTCTGGTGCTTCCTACTCTGGAATTCAGCACTGTGGGTTGCTGCTTGCGGTAACTCACTGGAGTTTCCTTGCTCTGTCATCAGCTCTCCTCTCTCCTGTAGACTAAACAAGGCAAGGTCAGGATGATGGAGCTGTAAAAATTGTCGTATGAGCTATGGCGGAATTGCATCTCTCTTCAAAATGAAAACCTATCCTCCCTAGTGTTAAAAATGATGTTTTTAACGCTGCTTTCTTTTGCACCCAGTGGAAGTGGAAGCAATAGCAGAGAAAGCAGCTACCGGGCAGCTCACAGTACCTCCTTGGCATCCTCAGAGTTTGACCTTGGAGTGTGGGGCAGAAAGCAAGGCTGACCCGCTGCTGCAGCCTCCCACGAGGGGCCCTGAGAACAGGAATTTGCAGCGAGTTGTAGACTACCACAGGGAACCTGATGAACCAGGAGGAACTGGCAAGTTCAACAGATTGATCAACAGTGGCTGCGACCAGCATGGCAGACAGACCGGGCCTTGCAGCTTCACCAGTAAGTTCGCTCGGGGGGATGGGGATGGGCTAGGAATAGATGAGCTTCATCAAGTTATCAATTCTCAAAAATAGGCAAGCATCCTGGCTTCTTTATTTTGTTTGATACTCTTTTCCTACCTATCTGGGAATTTTGAATTCCAGGGGAAAGTAAAATAGAACTTATATTCCACTGTGCTTCCTATAGGCAAAGAAATCCATACCCTCATGAATTTTTCTTTTCTTTTTTAAAAATCTGTTTGAAAGTCAGAATTATAGTGTGTGCATATATCTTCCATTTGCTGCTTTACTCCTCAAATTTGTGCATTGAGGAGCAACTGGGCTGGTCTGAAATAAGGAGCCAGCCTTCATTTCTTCCGTGTGGTTACAGGGGCCCAAGCGTTTCAGCCATCTTCCACTGCTTTCCCAGGTGCACCAGCAGTGAGCAGGATAGGAAGTGGAGCAGCTGGGTTTAAACTGGTGCCCATATGGGATTCCAGAACTACAGATGGTGGCTTAACCTGTGTGTGCTATAATATCAGCCCCAAACTGAACCAGAACTCTTTTGTCCAAAGGTGTCAAAATATTCTCTATCCACTGGACCTTGTCTTGGGTCTAAATTGGCAAAGAATCAAACCTTCTGTACCCGGAGGGACATGGACCACTACTTTCACCATCTGTTTCCTTATATTGTATTTTTATTCTAGAGATAAGCCTGCTGGCCACCAGAGGCCTCTGCCAGTGGAACCTCCAGGTATATGAGATTTACTGTCACCGGTTACAGAATACAGGTTGCAGATTTACAGGCTGTGTATCTGCCTGGTAGTTTGTTTGCAATCAGGTCATAGACTATAATTTCATAATTGTTTGTAAATAGGAAAAAAAATAAAATTGTCATCTAACATAGACAGGAAACCTATTGGCTTGGGTTTTCTTGGTATTTAGAATTTGTTTGTTGTCAAGCATCACTCTTGAATGGGCGAAGTCTCTACTCTTTGGACTAAACATAACTGATGAGGCCCAGATAGCTGTGGCAGAACACATCTGCATCTTTTCTCTTACACCAGCCTTTTCCCATTTCATGTGTCCCAATGTTAGTGAATGATTTTGGCCCTGATTGTATTATAATCATTAGGTATCAGACACGTGTCCCCTGGAGAAAATGAACAGCGAGAGCATAGCGAAGCCTTGAAAGCAAGTTCAGAGGCATCTGCAGTCATTGAGAAATCTTTCAGTGTAAGTAATGTGGCTTGGAGAGCCAAGCTGAGCCTGAGGCTCAAATAAACTGGAACTAAGTTGTTACATATCCTGGTACCAAAATAGTATCTATACTAGGTTTGTTTGTTTGTTTGTTTTGTTTTGTTTTTGGTTGGAGCTCATGCCTTCCTGTCACTGATACGAATAAAGTGTTTTGTTTCTTCCCTGTTTAATACTTCTTGAGTGGGTTCAACTCAGTGTATTCTGCGTCTTAGAGTTTAGAGAGAACGCAGTGTAGGGTTCTGCTCTGGGATTTGAGCTCCCCCATCTAGGTGGGTGGACATGACCAAGCTCAGGGGTGTGATAAGAGTGCCTTCCCTTGCACTCCCCTCTGGGGCCCAAATTCAGCTCTTTTTTTTTTTTTTCAAGATTTAATTGAAAGGCAGATCAGATTTACAGAGAAGAAAGAAACAGAGAGGTCTTCCATCTGCTGGTTCACTCCCCAAGTGGCCACACTGGCCAGAGCTGAACCAGTCTGAAGCCAGAAACCAGGAGTTTCTTCTGGGTCTCTAATGCAGGTGCAGGGTCCCAAGGCTGTGGCCCATCCTCTGCTGCTTTCCCCAGCCACAAACAGGGAGCTAGAAGGGAAAAAAGAGGACTTTAGCCACCAGGCTACTGTACCAGACTAATAATAACAATAATAATAATAATAATAATTATTATTATTATTATTATTTGAATAATAATCGAATAATTATTTTGAATAATGTTTGAATAATAATTATAATAATAATAATTATTATATTATAATATTATAATTATATATATTTATATATAATATATAATATTATAATAGTATATTTATATAATATATATTATATATAATATATAATTATAATTATATATATAATATATAATATATATAATATATAATATATAATTAAATAATATTAAATATATAATATATAATTATATATAATATATATATAATTAATATATAAATATATTATATAAATATTATTTTATATTATATAATTATATTATATATTATATATATAATATATTATATATTATATATAATATTATAAATATATAATATATATATTTATTATAATATATATAATATTATTACAATATAAAATTATTATTATAATAATTATAATATTATAATATAATAATAATAATAATAATTATTATTATTATTATTATGACACTGTGGCTCTCCCTGCACCTCCACCTCATCCCCAAACAAAAAGTCAGCTCTTTATTCAGTGGAAGGGATGTCTTTGTGCTGAACAGATGTGCCCAGCAGGATCCTTGAGGGCAAATAATTTCCTAGCCTTTTTTTTTGGAGGGGGGGCGGAGCATTTACAGTTCTACTTAAGGGGTTTCACAAGCTCTGAGCGATAGGCTAGTCAGAAAAAAGAACCAAATCTTTTTTAGTTGTCATTGACATGGTGCCACAATAACTAAAGATTATAAATAGCAGTGCAGAATAACAACATATAAAAATACTATAGTGAAAAAATGTAAGGTCTTTCAAAGAACACAGTATTGCATTTATTCATAGTATGCAAACCACTCACAGAGGTTGTTGTTTCTTGAGGGCTGGCAGGAGATTAAGCAGACTGGGAGGAAAAGTGTGTGGCAAAACCAGCACCCAAAGATAGAAGTCACAGAGTCCTCACAAGGGGGTGACAAAAGGTGGACACAAGAACCATTTGTCTGGGGTAGTCTGGGCATGATCAGTAAAATAAACAGAAAAAAAAAAGGTAGGAAGATAGATATGCTGAAAAAATAGCTGCTACTTTTTTAGTGTATGAATTTTACTGTTATTATTGAGATGATACTGTGGTCTTAAAAATCATGTTATTTCATTTGTACAGCATAAGACCTGCGGGGCTGCCAAATGTTGAGTAACTTAAGCCTTTTTAACACACAAGCCATGTCTGCCCTTGGGGGAGGTCAGGATGTCCAGAAGCAGCTCCCAGCTTGACTTGTCCAGGGCTTTCTTCTCACGTGGAATGTTAAAGCAAACAGGTCATTCCCCCCACCCCCTCCGCCGCCCATTCTGCAGATAAGGAGGCCAGACTCAGACAGTGCCCCTCCCCACTGATTCCTGTGGCAGTTCACCAGAAGGCAGGCAAAGGCCCATGTGCCAGTTCACAGTGTCTTACTGACTGCTGGGTAGTTTTGGATAACCCTGATATTACCACTAAATCTAGCTGTAAAATAATTTACTTACAACTAACAGCAACTTAAAAGTGATCTCGTTATTAATAGGATCAGTCCGTGCATTCAACTTGTTCACCAGAGACTTCTGAGGATTTAACAGATGAATTTTTAACTCCAGACCATGAGTACTTTTACTCCTCAGCTGCTCGAGAAAACTTAGATCTAGAGGTAAAAATCACATTCAGTGTAAGGTCCATTTTCACCTTTCTCCATTGCCTTCTTTTAAATCACTTTTGTTGAGAAAAACAGCTACATGTGACAGTATACAATGTCCATTTACTGGTACCTTCATGCATGTTTGAAGAAAGTATCTGAAAATTAAGCTTCTGAAAATGGAAAGTCATGTGCAGTTTCTGCTAAAATTACCATTTCTGCATTTGTATACAATTGTACTTTTTGAAAAAAAATTTTTTCATTCATGCTACGTAATATGCATATCCTTCTTGTGGGAAGAGAAGAGAACCATCCTTTCTCTCTGCAGGAAGGCTGATGATGTGCGCATGTGGGGAGCTAGCCCAGCTTGCCAGGCCTTGAGGGTGGGAGAGCCACAGTTAGGGGGTTCAGCAACGGATGCCAGACTGTCCAGCAACCAGGTTGTTGTGGGGATCTGCTAGGCTTTGCAAGAGCCTACTTGCCTAAAGTATTTTCATTTGTAGAATGAAATACATTGGATTCTCATATTTGCTTATCTAATATCCCATGTAACTGTCCATCTTTTTGGAGCCTTTAACTAATTAGAAAAGTGGTATGGCAGAAAGGAAGGATTGTACATGTCCGTTTCAGATGAAACTTGATGCTTTAGAAGTATAATTTCCACTTACTTGCAGTTCTGAAAATTCAGGGAAGGCTGTTTTCCGTTATAAATAATCCCTTTTAAATATTCCTCATTTTGTTCATGTGCAGAGTAGAACATTAAGACATCTTTAATAAAATAAACACACACACACACACACAGTGGGCCTTCCATATCCATAGGTTATACATCCATGGATTCTACCGACCACAGGTAACACATATTTGGAAAAAAGTTGTATCTGTACTGAACACACACAGGTATGTTTTCTTGTCACTATTTATTAAACAGTACATACAGTAGAACAACTCTTTACATAGCATTCACATATGTTAAATATAAGTAAATCAATGAGGATTTAAAGTATACAAGAGTATACTTTGCAGGTTATAAGTGATTACCATACCATTTTCTATAAGAGACTTGAGAAGTTTCTCTAGATTTTGATATACCTGGGTTAGTTCTTGACCCAACTCTCAGGGAGACCTAGAGATGCCTATACATGAAGGATAACTCAGAGAAAACTTCACAGAGCTTAATTGTGCCTGAATTTTCACAAGCCAAGCACGTTGTATATAACCAACACCCAGATCCAAAGGAACATTATGGAACCATTATTGAAGCTTTCTGCCTCATTGAGTAGTTGTACAATCAAGGTCATGTTTTCAAACTCCTTTGGCTCATCTAATAAAGCTCCCAAGAACCAAATCAGCTTTGTTGGCAGATTGGGGTGAGCAGAGGACATAATATAAAGAGGGGGAAAATCGCGTAATTTTTTCTCACAAGGGAAGAAGGCAGGACTGATTGAATGGAGCGTTAAGCACAAATAAGTAATCAATGTCTATAAAGCAGATTTGGGATTTTTCTATTAAAGATATGGGGCCCTTACAAAGATTCTCAAAGTTTGACACGAAGAAATTCTCTCAGTCTTTAAGTGATGTCTGCCTCCAGTAAACCTCCTTTCCTTGCTGTTTTTTTTTCATTCCCTCATAGACCTCAAGTCCCATAGAAGACTTGGAAGTTCAGGGTGCACTTGCTCAATCTCAAATCTCTGGTAAGTTCTTCGGGCCTATTCATTTAAGAATCACTTAAAATTTTTTATTTATTTGAAAGACAGAGTTACACAGAAAGGGAGAGAGATTTTTTTGCTCCCCAAGGGGCCATGACAGCCAGAGTTGATCTTATCTGAAGCTGGAAATCAGGAGTCTCTTTCCAGGTCTCCCACATGGGTACAGTAATCCAAGTTCTTGAGCCATCCTCCACTGTCTTCCCAAGCCATAAGCAAAGAGCTGAATTGGAAGTGTAACTACTGGGACATGAACCCATGCCCACATTTGGTGCTGGTGCCACAGGGTAGATGATTAGTCTGCTGCGCCACTATGTAGCTCCCCCCATGACCACTTGAAATGGGCCTGGCCTGTCATGATCATTTCATTTTATTTGGATAGCATTGGTTGGGGATGGAAAAGGTTAGGATGATTAATTCAGAATACTAGGACCAGTTCAGTGTAAACATCTGAAGTATGTGAAAAAACTCTGGTTTCACTGTTTCCCTTTTTCAGCTCTTCTCCGCTCCTTTTCCACTTTGATATGTAGTCCCTTACGTATAAGAGGATGCAGCAGGGCTACAGTGGGTTGCATGTTGGAGTCAGGTCCTGACTTTTTTGGCAAACAGAAAAATTGCTTCCCTGCAGGGTTCCATTTTCTCCTTCTCTAAAATAAAGGAGAGGTTGGAGATTTTTTTTTTTTAAGATTTATTTATTTTTACTGGAAAGTCAGATATAAGGAGAGGAGAAGAGACAGAGGAAGATCTTCCATCCATTGATTCATTCCTCAAGTGGCTGCAACAGCCGGATCTGTGCCAATCCAAAGCCAGGAGCTCAGAGCCTCTTCTGGGTTTCCCACATGAATGCAGAGTTCTAAGGCTTTGGACCATCCTCAATTGCTTTCCCAGGCCACAAGGAGGTAGCTGGGTGGGAAGCAGGGCCACTGGGATTAGAACTGGTGCTTATATGGGATCCTGGCACATTCAAGGTGAAGACTTTAGCTGCTAGGCTATCACACAGGGTCCTGCAAATTCTAAAATCTGAAAAGTTCCCTCAAGCTTTAAGTTGTGCTTACTGGAAACTGCATTATGCCTTCCAGGAATTCAGCTCACTTGGGTCCCGACATCTCCCCACTGGAGTGGCTTCAGAGCTGCTCGGCAGCTGCATTGTTGGGGTGGGCCTTCCCAGTGCCTGCCAGATCACCTGGACTGAAGCACTCTGTAGGGGAGCCAGGAGCCCTGGAAACAAGGAAAGCCGCTCTACCTGTTCTTTCATTATACATCAGGACAGTGGGCCTGGCGTGATAGACTAGTGGCTAAATCCTTGCCTTGCATGTGCCAGGATCCCATGTGGATGCCAGTTCGTATCCTGGCTGCTCCACTTCCCTTCCAGCTTCCTGCTTGTGGCCTGGGATGGCAGTAAAGGACAGCACAGAGCCTTGGTGCACTGCGCCCATGTTGAAGACCCAGAAGCTCCTGGCAGGCTTTGGATCAGCTCAGCTCTGGCTGTTGTGGCCACTTGGGGAATGAACCAGCAGAAGGAAGGAAGAGCTTTCTTTCTGTCTCTTCTCTCTTTATATCTAACTTTCCAATAAAAAACAAAAAATCAATCTTTTTAAAAAGAATAAACCGGGACAGTCCCAGGCTGAGAGGGAAAGTGGCTACCTGCCCTGTCTCCTTAGTACTCAGGACCCTATCCCACCCCTACTCCTTAAGTGCAGTTGGTGGCCAACGGGCGCAGTCAGTGCCCAGGGAATGTACAAGCTAATGGTCTTTTCTATTTGAATTCTCCAGTGAACAGTTTTTGGTCACAACATTCCTTGTTGTCTGTTGATAGGAATCAGGTCAGTAAGCTTTCTCAAAAAGACAAAGCATTTGTCTCCAGGAATAATTGTGTGGTCATGAAGAAGAGACTAATAAGTGGCCTGATTGTATGATGAGTATCAGAATGCAGATTTCCCTTCTGAATAAGGGAAATAAACTTTGAGAACAACCCCCACCCCACCCCTGTACCACTGAAACTAAACGTAATTAGGAAAACAGGTTGTTTATTGAAATCATTGCTCATTTTTCGACCTGACCAAAAGAAATTGTAGTAAATGAAAATGATCATTTGAGTTGGCAAAACTTTCATTCTTAAAATATATATATTTTTCCAGATGAGGAAAAGTTCCACTTTGAAAAGAATGCTGAGATTCTGATCAAGTCTCCCTTCCAGCTTAAACAAAGGTATGGTCTTACTGTTTCACTGTCTCAGGCTCCAAGGAGCAGTGTTCAGTGATGATAATGTCCCCATCTTTATATAATGCTTGTCTTTTTTCTTCAGTGAGGGAAAGGATATAATGCAGTAAGCACATTTGTAAATATCTATACGATATTGTCCACACATTTATTATACTATATGAATATTAACTTCCAGATATGAGTGCAGAACATGGTATTTGGCCGTTTTGGCCTGCTTTATTTCACTCAGCATAGTGATCTGCAATTCTATTGTTTTGCAGATTTCAAGATCTCATTCTTTTTTATAGCTAGTATTCATTCATTTTGTATGTACACCACATCAGTTGTCCATGATGGGCAAGTATGTTGAATTCTTCTCTTTGCTATTGTGAATTGGGCTTTAATAAACGTGGGAGTACATGCACCTTTTTCATATGTTGATTTCATTTCTTTTGGTTATATTCCTAGAAGTGGGATAACTGGGTCATATGGTAGACCTATTTTTAGTTTTTCAAGGAATCTCCATACTGTTTTCCAAAATGGCTGTAATAGTTTATATTCACACCAACAGCTTGTTATAATTCCTTTTCTCCACATCCTTGCCAGCATTTGTTATTTTTTGACTTTCTGATCATTGCTGCTCTAACTCGGTTAAGATGATAGTGAATTCCCTGGTGACTAATGATGCTGAGCATTTTTAAAATGTGTTTGTTGGCCATTTTGAACAATGTCAATTTAGCTCCTTTGTCCATTTATTAACTGGATTGTTTATTTTGTTGTTCAATTTATATGTTTTCGAATATCTTATGAAATATAGTCATTTACCAAATGCATACTTGCAAATATTTTCTCCCATTCTATTGGTTGTCTGTTAATTCTGTTGATTGCTTCCTTTACTATGGGGAGGCTGCTAACTTTGAGATATTATTATTCTTATTTTTACTTTTATTGCCTGTGCTTTTAAGGTTTGATCCAAAAAATGTTTTGCTTATCTTTGAATGTACTAGTTATTATCTTAGAAAAATTTGCTTTTATAGTTTGGCTTTATTTGCTGAGCTTTATTAGGATTTGGGGTGGTGGTGGGTCATTGTATTCAGATCATGACTGTGGCGTTCTACCCATGTATGACCGATCAAGGTCAAGGTTCTCAGGATTCTCAACCCTTGCATTCTGTTTCTCAGCTGTGGACAAGGGATGTGAACCCTTTCCAAGGAACAAGAAGTAATTAAATAGCTACTAGGTGTTTATCCCAGGGAGATGAAGACTCGTGTTCACACAAAAATACATCCATGCATGTGTACAGCAAATCCATTCGTAACAGCCCAATACTCCAATCTAGGGGTCCTTCTTACCAAATGAATGTGTTACAGACAGTGCTGTATCTCTGCTATGGACTCCTACTTAGCAGTAAAAAGCTCAAACCATTGATACTGCAACAACCGGGACACATCTCCAGAGAACAACACTGGATGGAAAAAGAATTCCAAAATGTTATTTTCTGTATGATTCCACTCAGGCATTTCGTCTTAAAATGATGAAACTATAGAAACAAAGAACACATTAATGCTTTCTAGATATTAAGGAAGGGATTGGGGAATGAGGGAAGTAGGCCTGGCTATAAACAAGCAGTTTAAAAGACATTCCATATCTTCACCATATCAATGCCAGTATCCTGGTTGTGATATTGATATACACTTTTGTAATATGTTACCAGTGGAAGAAACACCAGTTCTCTTGAAACTAAAAGGTTAATTAAAAAAAAAAAAAAACAGATATGCATGGACATGTGGTGCAGTGGGTTAAGCCACTGCTTGGGATGCACTCAGAGGTAGCAGGTAATGACTCAAATGCTTGGACCTCTGTACTCATGAGGGAGACTCAAAAGAAGCTCCCGGCTCCTGGCTTCATCTTGGTGTAGCCCTGGCTATTGCAGCCGTTTGGGGAGTAAACTAGTGGGTGGAAGACACACCCTCCCACCCCACCCCCACCACTCTTCTCTCTATAACTCTGCTTTTCAAATAAATAAATCTAAAAACAAAGATCAGAGAGCAGAGAGTTTATTTTTCCTAAGGCTAACACAGAAAGAGCAGACTAGATTATGAACAATTACAAACAGCCCTTAGATTTTAGTAGTATAAAACAATGAAAATGTCTTGCTCATGCTCCTGGTTGGCCAAGGATATTCTGTGCTATATTAACTTCTGCCGGAGACACAGTGTGAGGGAAGCTCCATTTCTATGCTTCCCTGATGGTTGAGGCAGGAAAAATGGAACATGGTGTATTTTGCAATGGCTGTTAGTTTTGGCCCAGAAGTAACTTGTCACTTCCTCAGATTTCATCGGTTAAAACAAATCATGGGGCCATTTACGTAAATTAAGAGGAACAAAAGCGCTATTCTGTTGTGTGCTTGGAATGAGAAACAAACATTTTCATGAACAGAACAAAGTTAGGACACAATCTAAAATCCCTGCTGTCTCCTTTATAGTGTTGGTCCTGTAGGATTCTTGCTGTTTTTAAGACTGTAAAAACAGGGGCAGGCATTTGGCCTGGCAATTAAGAGGCAGCTTGGGACACTGACATCTCATGCCTAGTTTTGAGTTCCAGCTCTGCTTCCGATTCTGACTTCCTGTTATTGTGCATCCTGGGGGAAGCAGAGGTTGATACCTCAAGCAGTTGGGTTCCTGCCACCATGTGGGAGATCGGGCTTGAATTCCGGCTCTCAGCTTCCATCTGATCTATTCACTGCTGTTGCCAGCATTTTGAGGTTGAAACAGCAAATGAGAGATTTATTTCTATCACTCTGCTTTTCAGATAAATAAAAAAAAAAAAATTTAAATATGGCTGCCTGCATTGTGTCACAATGGGTTAAGCTGCCTCTTAAACACCAGCATCTCATAGAGTACCAGTTCTAGTTTCAGTCGCTCCATTTCCAATCCTGCTTTCTGCTAATGTGCCTAGGAAGGCATCAGAAGGTGGCACAAGTGCTTGGGACCCATTGACCACGTGCGACTCCAAGATGGCATTCCTGGCTCCTGAATTTGGGCCTTGGCAAAGCCCTGGCTTTGTGGCAATTTGGGGAGTTGTCCTGCAAATAGAAGATTTCTCTTTGCTGTTTCCCTTCCTGCTTCCTTCCCCATCATTCTGCCTTTCAAATAAGTAGATCATTTTAAAAATATGAAAACATTTTTAGCAAGAAGCATTTGGCATGGAATCCGGCTTTTAGTTAGTATTTGGTAAATATTGAAATTGAGTCTTAAAATAGGGATTAAAACAAGTCCAGTTTGTCTTTTAGTATCTCCTGGAACTCTACAACAGGAAGCTGGCTCACTATCTTAAGGGCCAATGGCTGTGTCCCTGGTTCCAACATTGCGCTCTTAGCAAAGTTCCTACCCTCTGTTGGTTTTCACAGGAAGAGTCATATGGAATCCTGGCCTTTTTTGAGAGCCAAGCTGACCCATAGGGACTGTTTATAAAAACACTGGGAAAGAAATTGAGACTCAGAGGTGCTAGAAAACTTGAGTGTAGTCAGTGGCAGAACCAGAACCACACCCTACGCTTCACGCTTCTGAGCTTGGTGGCTTTTGCGATACTTCTCATTCTGGATGAATGAGCTGGTGTCTCTTGTACCAGGTTGATACACTGTACTGACAGAGACTTCCATAACTTGCCTACTTTCTCCTCTACAGCACTGGAGGCGAACAAGAGGAAACTTTAAAGGAGCCACCAAAGGAACTGAGAGAGAAAGACATGTATGGCCACCAAGGAGTTAGCTGCCTGCCTAAGGGTTCTGTGTAAAGTCTTAAGTTTTAATGAATGGTAGTTTCTTGTTTGTGAGAATCTATATTCTTTCCATTGCTTGTATAGACTTAATATGAATGGTTTTTTTCTTTCACTAAAAAGCCATTATTAAATTGCTGATATGAGTATTACTTTCCAAGGAAATACAATGATAATAGTATAAGTTTATACTTAAGATAGATAAGTTTTCCATTGAAATAATTCATAGCTGATGGAATGTGTCTAATGTTAGTGTCTCTTTTAAAGGTATTTTTGAGTATTCTCTTTAAGATACATAAGGTATTCTCTAATTCTGGATTTTTTTGTCAAGGGTATACTTTAAAATTTTCTGCTAAGAATATAATAGTCAGAAGGACAGGTACTTGACAGAGCTGCACAGAAGCCTGCATCTCCTATCAGAGTGCCTGCCTTGCAGTCCCAGCTGGGTTTTCAGGTCCAGCCTCCTGCTAGTGCGCCCTCTGCAGGGCAGCAGGTGGTGGTTCGAGCTGTGCGGCCTTACTACTCACCTGGCCGACTCTGTATGCCTCCCAAGTTTTTGACTTTGGCCTGCCCCAGGCCTAGCTGTTGTGGGCATTTGGGAAGCAAACCAGCAGGTGGAAGATCTCTGTATTTCAAATAAAATGAAACTAAATAAATAGAACTTGAAAAAAATAGGTATAATTTGTTAGGTTTTCTTAACATCTCCTCACAGTTACTCTGTACTTTTAATTCAGCTCACTGACAGACATCCAGGACCTGTCTAGTATCACCTGTGAACAAGATGGCTCTGTTAAGGAAGTTTTGTGCAGAACCCCCAGAATCAGCCATGCACCCACCAGTGTCAGCACTCCACTCAGCCCAGGTACTCACCCACAGAGAGCAGCCTTTTGGGAAAGGAACCTGGAGCCTCCGTCCCTTGGCTCTGGGTTTGGGGTCAGGTTCAGTGACTGCGTCCTGCCAGTGCAAGGATATTTGCTTAGGGGCTAAGACTGGAGAGAACAATCCCCTTTAACAGATTAGGTTAGAGAGAGAGACTCCTGGTAGAGGTATAGGATTTTGTGGGTTTTGTTTTTAAGTAATGTAAATGCCCTCTTTTCGACAACAGGGTCAGCTTCTTCAGCTGCCAGTCGGTATAAAAACTGCCTTGAAGATATCACATTTCAGGTTAAAACAGTGTCTAGCTGTTGCCGGAACAATCAAGAATCGGTTCAAACTTCGTCTGATAAATCTGCAACTGTCCGAGAGAGAGCCAAGAGTCTAGAATCTCTCTTTCCTTCCTGTGAGACATCCCCTTCCAGACTGGCTGCTCTGGTAAGTCCGAACACCTTAGACACTCCAGTAGTCAGCTCACATATCTCAATGATCCAGAGAGCTGAGACTTTTCCAAAGCCATTAAGAAATCAAGAAATCCCGGGCCCAGCTGCATGGCCTAGCGGCTAAAGTCCTCGCCTTGAATGCGCCAGGATCCCATATGGGCGCTGGTTCTAATCCCGGCAGCTCCACTTCCCATCCAGCTCCCTAATTGTGGCCTGGGAAAGCAGTCGAGGACTGCCCAAAGCTTTGGGACCCTGTACCCACATCGCAGACCTAGAAGAGGTTCTTGGTTCCTGGCTTTGGATCGTTATAACATCGGCCTTTGCTCTCACTTGGGGAGTGAATCATCGGACAGAAGATCTTCCTCTCTGTCTCTCCTCTCTGTATATCCACCTTTCCAATAAAAATAAAATAAATCTTAAAGAAAAGAAGAAGAAGAAGAAGAAGAAAACAAGAAATAAGCTGGGCTCCTGCAGACCACCTTGGGAGCTCCGCTCCGGAGGCTGTGTGGTAGGAGCCTTCTGTTTTGCTTAACCTTTCTGCGACTCTCTTGGCTACTTGCTTATGAGTTTTGACTGAACTCTTTCTCTGAACTTCTGATCATCAGCCTGCAGGAAAAACACCCTTTCCCTTCTTCTCTTTCTCTGCACCTCCTTCTATCATTATTACTTTTTAAAACGATTTATTACTTATTATTATTTTTTAAAGATTTGTGTTTATTTTTATTGGGAAGTCAGTTTGTTTATTACAGAGAGAAAGACAGGCAGAAAGATCTTTCATTTGCTGGTTCACTCCAAAAGTGGCTGCAATGGCCAGAGCTGAGCCGATCTGAATCCAGGATCTAGGAGCTTCTTCCAGGTCTCCCATATGGGTGCAGGGTCCCAAGGCTTTGGGTCGTCCTCTACTGCTTTTCCAGGTCACAAACAGGGAGCTGGATGGAAGTGGAGCTGCTGGGATATGAACTGGCACCTGAATGGAATCTTGGAGCATGCAAGGCAGGACTTCAGCTGCTAGGCTACTGTGTTGGGCCATTATTATTATTATTAGTAGTAGTAGTAGTAGTTGTTGTTCTTTTCCTCCTTCTTCTCCCCTGTGTTCATTTGTGCAGTTTCAAGAAAACTACACATTCATGGAGCTGTTGCCATGGTGTAGTAGGTTAAGTCTCTACCTGGCAGCCCATATCGTGCCAGTTTGAGTCCCAGCTACTCCAAATCCCATCCAGCTTTCTGCAGATGTGCCTGGAACAGCAGCAGCAGATGCCAAGTGCTTGGGTTCCTGCAGCTGCATGGGAGACCTGGAAGAAGCTTCTGGATCTTGGTTTCAGCCTGTCCCAGTCTTGGCCATTGTGGCCATTTGGGGAGTGAACCAGCGGATGGAAGAGCTCTCTGTTTCTCTCTCTCTGCCAACAAATTCTTTGTTTTCATTCAGTGACTGTTAATTGGGTAGGTTCTGGATGCCAGATACCTCAGCAGGCATTCCTGCTGTATACTGCCTGCTCTACAAGTGCTTGCTGGCCAGTGAGAAAGACCAGCCTGTTGTAGCACAGAGATCAATACTGAGAGCTTTGGAGGCACAGAGGGGTGAGAAGGCTTCCCAGAGGATGTGATTTGTGAATGAGTTTAATAAAATGAGTGGAAGTGACTGAACACATATGTTTGTTACCATGTTTATGTCTTTCAGAAAAGATCATTTACATATAATAGAACTAGCTCATCCAGCATTGCTAAGGCATCTGGAACATCACCTCAAGCCGTTCAGAGAAGGAGCCTGCCTAAAGGTACGCTGGAGTTATTCCCGAAATAGAAGCACATGGTAGTAAGCTTAAGATGACACTCATCCTTAATGCTATACTTGAGTCAGACAAAATGCCATTTCTCCCTTGATGGTAAAGCATAGTTATTACAGCAAACTTGGAGAATAAACAACTTTAAAAAATGATCACTAAACCCTACTTTAATTCTTTAACCACATGTGTATTTTCATGCGTACTTTTTTCATATTTTTACAAACATATAAACCTTCTTTAACACAGTTGAAATATTGTATATCAGTTCTGGAGTGTTTTTCTCCCTTGATAGTGTAGTTCAAGGATTTTTTTTTGTCATCAAATTATTCATAAATGTATATAATAGCTACTGAGTTGATCTTGAACCCAGGAGCCCGGAGCCTCCTCTGGGTCTCCCACGTGGGTGCAGGGTCCCAAAACTTTGGGCCGTCCTCGACTGCTTTCCCAGGCCACAAGCAGGGAGGGAGCTGGATGGGAAGCAGGGCTGCCGGGATCAGAACTGGCGACCATATGGGATCCCGGCACATGCAAGGTGAGGACTTTAGCCACTAGGCTACTGTGGCAGGCCCAAGGGTACTGTTTGAAAGTCTGTGGACACTGCCATAGTTTGATAGCAAGGATGACCCCCTCCTCCTCCTGCCCTGTGGACAAAGGAGAAAAAAAAAAACCTGAAACATCTCTGCCACACGCCTTCCTTCGTACCTGGACCTCCCCGTCTTAACCAGAGGCCCACATGGGTGTGCATCCTCTCAACTCTCTAGACAATAGCAAAAAGAAAATCAAATAGGTTAAAAAAACAGGTTTTGGAAAAATGGAATTAAAGGATTTTTATTTTGGTGCAAAAAAACTGAAATCAACGTGTTTTTTTTCATAGTATGCATTTTTCAAGAACTTTCGAAGCCTCCTTATATATTGTTGCTTAACCATTCCTTTCTGTTAAAGATTTGTCATTTTCTCTCTCTTGTTTTTTTACATATCTTCATCTACACATGTCTGTTCCTTAGGAAAGATTATCAGGTGATGGTCTGTGAATCAAAGATTCTGGGAATGTTAACAGCTCTTGAAGCGTATTTATTACATTGGAACAACTGAGAATTTTCCTCAGAGAGACAAGAATTTTGTGAATTATTTCAAGGAATTTTGGTTAATATAATATAATTGAGCAAGACCTGAGTGTGGTTGTTTTATACTCCCTGATGTTATCACTTACAGAGAAAGGTCTCCTGCTCTGTGCTTTTGTTCATTTAGCTGATTCAGAAACTCTGATCCCTTTAGCAGCCCTGGTCTAAACTGGCTTCTTGTAAGAATTATTCCTTGGTGCCAGTGTCATAGAATAGTAGGGTGAGCCTCTGCCTGTAGTACTGCAATCCTGTATGGCATTGGCTTGAGTCCCAGCTGCTCCACTTCTGATCCAGCTCCTTGTTAATGGCCTGGGTAGACAGTGGAGGAAGATTCAATTCCTTAAGTCTGCACCCATATGGGAGACCTGGAAGAAGCTCCTGGCTCTATACTGGCTCCGTACTAGTTGTTGGCAGCCATCTGGGGAGTGAACCAGTAGATGGAGGATCTCCTGTCTCTCCTTCTGTCTGTAACTGCATTTCCAATAAAATAAAATACATAGATAATAAAATTCATAGCTTACTTTTCCCTTAGGAAGGGAGGAGCACAGACAAAGCAGTTCTGGAGGAAGGACTGATGTAGGCAGTGGCTTGGGCTGATGGGACAGAAAAGTTGTTTGAATAGTAGGAATTCCATGCTAGAGCTGTTATATAGGGGGCTTATTCCTCCCTCAATTTTTGTCATCACTGAGAAATCCTTAGTGAGGTGTATTCGGGAGCTTTGAACAATCTGAGTCAAGTCCAGAAAGGTTTTAAGTCATCTTCTCCTTTTTCTTTTTAAAGAACTAGTAGAAGCCATTTCCCAGCATCACATTGATGAATTACCACCACCAGCTCAGGAATTTCTTGATGAAATTGGTAAGGGTTATTTATTATTTAGTACAGGATCTGTTTCTTGTCCTGCTTGGAAGAACCAACTCACAGCCTGCATTGTAACTTCCTTCTCTTGAGTGTCTGAATGTGTGTAATTTAGGAAGGGTAACAATCTCCTCCATTAAAGACCTATTGCCTGGTATAAGAGTTTGCCTATGTTGTTATTTTGTTATTTAAAAACTTAATGGTAGGCCCTGACCCAATAACTCAATGGCTAAATCTTTACCTTGCAAGCACAGGGCTCATATGGTACTAGTTTGTGTTCTGGCAGCTCCACTGCCCATCTAGCTTCCTACTTATGGTCTGGGAAAGCAGCAGAGGAGTATGGCCCAAAACCTTGGGATCTTGCCACTCGTGTGGGAGACCCTGAAGAAGCTCCTAGCTCCTGGCTTCAGATCAGCTCTTCTCCAGCCATTGTGGCCATTTGGGGAATGAAACAGCAGGTGGAAATTTTTTCTGTCTCTCCTTTGCATAAATTTGACATGCTTTTCCAATAAAAATAAACAAATCTTTAAAAACAAATCTATGGTAGTGGGCCCAGCGCAATAGCATAGTGATTAAGGTCCTCGCCTTGAATGTCCCGGGATCCCATTTGGGTGCCGGTTCTAATCCAGGTGGCTCCACTTCCCATCAAGCTCCCTGCCAGTGGCCTGGGAAAGCAATCAAGGACGGCTCAGCTCCAGCCGTCGCAGCTACTTGGGGAGTGAATCATTGGATGGAAGATCTTCCTCTCTGCCTCTCCTCTCTGTATATCCATCTTTCCAATAAAAATAAATAAATCTTTTTTTAAAAAAATTAAATGGTAGCAACTCTAAGGAAAAATCAACTTCCAGTGGTTTATGATGATGATTTTAATTTAGTAAAGGAAGTCTTAGCTCTGTTTCGAGACAAACCAGCCATTCCTTAGAGTCCTGACATCTGGCTGCTCTGCTTTGTCCTTGGGATTGTTTTGAGTAAAGCAAACACCTCAGAAATGCGAAGCAGAAGAGTGAGTTTAGCAGATGCTTACCTTGGTCTAGTGAGCATCACCTTGGAATGAAAATGATGAGTATTCTTTGTCTTGTGTTTTTCTATCAACCATGATGGAAAATAGGGAATGTGGTTTAGTGCGGAAGCATTTGGATTGTTCTGATGATTTATACACTTTTTGAAAGATTTATTTTTATTAGAAAGGCAGATATTACAGAGGGAAGGAGAGACAGAGCATCTTCATTCCACTGGTTTACACTCCAAGTGAGTGCAATGACTGGAGCTGAGCCGATCTACAGCTGGGAGCCAGGAGCTTCTTCCAGGTCTCCCATATGGATGCAGGGTCCCAAGGCTTTGGGTCATGCTCTACTGCTTTTCCAGCCACAAACAGGGAGCTGGATGGGAAGTGGAACAGTCGGGACAAGAACCAGTGCTCATATGGGGTTCCAACATTTGAAGGGGGAGAATTAGCCAATTGAGCCATTGCCTTATGCCCCATTTACAAACTTAGAGAGTGTGTAAACAAGACATTAAAACATAAGCCTTAGAACTGGACTGCTTGAATTTAAATCTCAGTTCTACAATTTTTATCTGTGTGCTTTCAGACAAATTCTTTAATCTTAATTTTCTCATATATTAAACAGGAATGACAATAATACAGTCACTCTCAAAGTTATTGTCAAGATTAATTGTAAACATGAATCCTTACTCAACATCCATAGCTGCTTAGAAACAGTACCTGCCACATGGGGCTTGGTACGTGTGATCTATCATCATCACCTTTGTCTTAATTTTGTGTATTGCATGGGAGTTTTTCAGCCTTGAAGAACTTCCTTCAAACCTGAAATCCTAAAGCAGTGGTTCTTGTGCTGTATCAAACATTAGAATCACTTGAAGACTTGTTAGACTATAAATTACTTGGCCCACAGCTGCAAACTTTCTAGTTCAGTAGGTCTAGGATAAAGCCTGAGGATTTTTATCCTGAACAAGTGCCCAGGTTACGCTAATAGTGCTGTTCTAAGGACCACTCTTGATAACTACTGCCCTAGAAATTGGTGACATTAAAAAAAAAAGACATGTTACTTTCTGCTTTTGTGTCTTGACAGAGCTCTTGAAGCAACAGCAGGCCTCATCCACAGGACTGCACACAGCACATGATCCAGTCATCACTGCAAATGGTAAGCTAAGTCTGCAGATGTGTTACGCTGAGTTCTTTTTTGTCTTTGTTCTAAAGATTTATTCACTTTCTCAGAGATCTTTCATCTGCTGGCTCACTCCCAAGATGGCTGCACTAGCTGGAGTTGGGCCCTTCCAAAATGAGGAGGTTCTTCCAGGTCGCTCACGTGGGTGCAGGGGCTCAAGTACTTGGGCCATCCTCTGCTGCTTTCCTAGGCCATAAACAGGGAGTGAATCAGAAGTGGAGCAATCAGGACTCAAGCTGGTGCTCGTATGGGTGGGATGCCAGCGCCACGGATGGCATCTTTACCCACCACACCATAGCGCTGGGCTCATGACATCAAGTTCTTACTGTTACACTGTCCTTGGCAGCACAGTGGTACCTATGGGAAAGTGTGCCTGTGAGGTCAGGAACACTTCCACCTCAACTCTCTCGTCATCACTTCACCAGTTTCTTTTGTTACGGCAAATTGTTTACAATCTCTGAGTCTCGGTCATTTCATCTGTAAAATGGAAATAAAAATTCCTAACATAATTTACATAATAGCAACAGCTTCCGCATAGCAGCTGGTACACTGTAAAATACCTAGCAAATGTTAGTTCTCTTCCCATTCACTATAGGACTGCTGGCAGGATTGAGACAGCATATGTAAAATGCTTGGCATATATTAAAGGGTACACCCCTTCCCCACCCAAATTCCTTCCTTGGGGATCTAATCTAGAATACCCAACCAGTGAAATAGGGTAGTCCCTGAAAGTAAATCTGCATTTTGTTGTCAGGGTTACTTGTCGTCTTTTATGTGCCCCTTCTTTTCTGTTTTCATTTGAGTCTTGGCACAGGTCAGGTTTCCTGGAGCTTCACTTGGCATCAGAGAGCTGGCAGGACCCCAGAAGCAGCTGCTGTGAATCCAGGCATCCTGCCGACTGCCACCTGGCCCCTGTTCTCATGGGAAGAGGGGAGTGGGAACGAGCACATTGCATACTTGGGGCACTAATGATTAGCCTTCATTTTAAGGCTGGCTTTCTGAAAATTTTTTTGTTCTAATAAAATTATTCTTTCAACCATTTTTAGATCAAAAACATTTAGAAGAGCAAGAAACTGATAGTAAAAAAGAAGATAGCAGTATGCACTGGACCAAAGAATCTCAGGATCTAGGGGAGGACACAGAGAGGTAACAGAAAAAGCTGGGTGTGGGTTTTTAAAACTGTGATTTTATTGTACTCCTTTAAAAAAAATGCTCATAAAGAAGGGGGGTAAAGTTAGTCTTTTTCATATTGCCTTAATAGTCCTTATTTCTAAAAGGCTTTTTGTGCTTTTAAAAAATTGTCATTTTTAGTTATTTATTGTGAAAGTTTATTATGTTTTTATTTGAAAAGCAGAGTTAACAGACACAGAGAGAGAACTTCCATCCACAGGTTCATTTCCCAGATGGCCATAACTGCTTGGAACTTGGTCTGTCTGAAGCGAGGAGCCTCCTCCAGGTTTCTATATGGGTGCAGGTCCCCAAGCACTTGGGCCATCTTGTGCTGCTTTTCCAGACATGTCAGCAAGGAGCTAGTTCAGAAATGAAACAGCCGGGTCTCCACAGGCACCCATATGGCACTGCAGGCAGCTACCTAATTCTCTAGGCTATAGCTTCTGTCGCAGTTTTTTGCTCTTAATTTTAAAAAATGTGATAAAATACATATCACATAAGTTTTACCATTACCATTTTAAATTTGCAGTTCAGTGGTGTCAAGTATACAGATGATGGTTGACTTACCAATGTTTTGGCTTCGCAGTAGTAGAAGAACAATACCATTCAGCAGGAGCTGCACTTTGAATTTACTCTCTTTGCAGGCTTGTGATAGGGGGCTCAGTACTTGTGGTAGGGGGCAGCCATCTGCAGCTCCTAGTCAGCCCCATCTCTTGGAAAATAACAGCTGTCATACAGCATGTCGTGTTACTAGGCTAGGATTTCAGCAGATTAGGCCTGTTGAATGAATGCGTTTTAATTCACCATAGTTTAAAAAGGTTTATTTACCAGGAAGGTAGAGTTACAAGACAGAGAGACAGAGATCTTCCATCTGTTGGTTTATTCCTCAGATGGCAAAATTAATAAAGAAAGAAAAAAATAATGAATTAAAACAAACAACAACAACAAAATATTCCTTAGATGGCTGCGGTACCTCAGGCTGGGTTAGGCACAGGTTATTGACCATTTGAATATCTTCTTTGGATAAATATTTGAATTCTTTGTGAGATTTTACAAGAGTTATTTGGGGTTTTCAATTTTGTTGTGTAAGTTCTTATGTTTTTGTTTTTTGTTTGTTTTGGTTTTACTTTGTTTTGTGAGGTAAACATTGATTTCAGCATCTTTTTAAAACATTTTAGTAAAAGGTCATGGGAGAGGATTTTTAGTTCTTTGTAGCCAGTAAGGGACAGTAAGGACAGCCATCCAGGAGATCCAGTTTAACAGTACAAGGCTGCCTGAGCAACCTGATTCTGTTCCTGCTTCAGTACTCTCCTTGCACCTGTGTGAGGTGAACCATTTAGCTCACCTGCTTTGCCTCGTGACTTTTCTTGCCTTCTCGTTCAGGACTGGGACTATGGTGAAATAAATGAGATACACAATACACAATAAATGAGGTACAAAATCTAAGGGAACACCAAAAAAAATAAATTGTCAAAAAGGTAATACTTTAATGCAACTTATATATTTTTAAGATTACTTATTTTGATTGCAAAGTCAGATTTACAGAGACAAGGAAAGACAAAGGAAGATCTTCTATCTGCTGGTTCACTCCCCAAGTGGCTGCAAAAGCCTTGCTGAGCCGATCTGAAGCCAGAATCCAGGACACAAGGCTTTGGACCATCTTCCACTGCGTTCCCGCCTTCCAAAGCCATAAACAGGAGCTGGCTGGGAAGTGGAGCATCCAGGACACAAAATGGCACCCTTATGGGATCCTGGTACATGCAAGGCAAGGACTTGTAGCCACTGAGGCTACCACGCTGGGCCCAACGCAATATTTTAAAAAATCAAATTTAATGCGAAAACATTCATGATGAACAAAGCATGTGGAATTTAAAGAGCAGGAACTGAGTGTGTACCTGTGCTCATTACCTGGTCCCTTCCTTGGGGAAGGGACACACTTAACCAGAAGTACATGGGAGACAGGGCATGTCCAGCTTAGCAATGCCATCTAGAACCCAGGGTTGCTTGCTTTAAATTTGAGAGGAAAAAAAAATCTGAGAGGAAAAGCTCACATCTTCTGGTTCACTCTCTATGAGTAGCCTGGGCCAGGTTAAAACCAAAAACCGTGAACTCAGTCCAGGTGTCCAACAATAGTGACAGGGCCTAACTACTCAGAATAGCACTGTGCTGCCTTCCAGGGTAGGCACTGGCAGAAAGCTGGAATCAGGAGTAGAGCCCAGCATCAAACCTCTGATAGAGGGCATGGCTGTCTTAACTGCTAAGTCAAATGCAAGCCCTGAGACTTAGTCTATTTTGGTCTTGCTGATCTCCTTTCCCCATCATGCTGGCCTTTATGTTGTGTTCTGACTGTCACCTGGTTACAAGATGGTTTCTGCTGTCTACATACCAGATGTAAGTTTTTTTTTTTTTTAGACTTACTCATTTTGGAAAGAACTACAGAGACAAATATTCTCTCTGTATTCTGTCTGCTGGTTCACTCCCTAGATGATCATAATGACCAGCACTGGGCCAAGCTGAAGCCAGAACCTAGGAGTTCCATCTGGGTCTACCATGTGGGTAATAGGGGCCAAAGCACTCGGGCCTTCTGCTGCTGTATTTATTCATTTAGTTATTTTATTGAAAAGGCAGATATTCAGATAGGAGGAGAGACAGAGAGGAAGATCTTTCATCCAATGGCTCACTCTCCAAGTGGCCACAACAGCTGGAGCTGCACCAAACCGAAGCCAGGAGCTTCTTCCGGAGCAGGGTCCCAGGGCTTTGGGCTGTTTTTGACTGCTTTCCAACGCCATAATCAGGGAGTTTGACTGTTTTTCCTAGGCCATTTAGCAGGGAGCTGAATCAGAGGTAGAGCAGCTAGAATCTGAACCAGTTTCCACAAGGGATGCATGTTAGTGCTAGCCCTACAAGGGAATATTTCAACTGACGTTTTTGACCTTTTTCTTTTATTCTTTTTTTTTTTTTTTTTTTTGAGGAAAGCAAAAACTCTCAAAAGCCTTTTTCAGAAGTCATCTGCTTACATTTCATTGACCAGACAGTGACACATGACCATTGTTAAGTGCAGGAATGACTGGAAATTTAATTTTTATTTATTTATTTTTAAGATTTATTTATTTTTATTACAAAGTCAGATATACAGAAAGGAGGAGAGATAGAGGAGGAAGATCTTCTGTCTGATGACTCACTCCCCAAATGAGCGCAACAGCTGGTGCTATGCCTATCCAAAGCCAGGAGCCAGGAACCTCCTCTGGGTCTCCCACATGGGTGCAGGGTCCCAAGGCTTTGGGCCATCCTAAACTGCTTTCTCAGGCCACAAGCAGGGAGCTGGATGGGAAGTGGAGCAGCCAGGATTAGAACCGGCACCCATATGGGATGCTGGCGCATTCAAGGCAAGGACTTTAGCTGCTAGGCCATACCACCGGGCTCAGACACAGGATCTTGCATCAAGCTTTATGGGTAGTGATTTCATGGATGCTGAGGACTTCTTGTCAAGGGGCTCCAGGCTGTTTTTGTGCATATTTCTGTCAGATCTGAATCACCTCTATAACTCATGACACAATCTCACTAAACTGGTATTTTCTCAACTATATAGTGAGCGCACTAGAAGATTTTTTTCCCTCTTTTGTCATGCTTTCTTGACACAGGAGAAAGGAAATGATGACTGTCTTTATTCTCTTCCCTTGCTTCTGGACAGAGCTCACTCCAGTCTTGATGAGGACCTGGAAAGATGGCTACAGCCACCCGAGGAGCGCATGGAGCTGCAGGCCCTCCCCAAGGGCTCTACAAGGTCATTGCTCCCCATCAGGGGATCGTTTGCGTCTTTATCCTGAAGTGGGGCTAAGTTTTAGACTCCTTGCAGAGTGTATGTCTGGTGATGGCAGTGCATTGCTGTAGATAAGATGGCCCTGACTCCATCTGTCTGCACTCTGTGCCTGCAGCCACCTACAGTACTTGAGATACTGATTAGCAGATGGATATCAGCATAGAGAGAGGCTGCTAAGAGTGCTGCATTTTGGCTCTGCTGCCTCCAACATTTTAATCAGTCATCTGAATTAAATCAGAAAAGGCACACTAATCAAATTTTAGATAACACAATCTAGGAATGAAGCTGACATAGGTGATAGACTGAAGATTCAAAATTGTCTTGACAGGTGGAAATGTTAGATTGTCTTAACAGATAAAAGATGTAAACCTTGTAGATCTTAAAGTGTAGAATGCAGGAGACATGGTGTGTTTACAGATTGAATTGGAAGCTCTTACTGTTATTTATATGGACTTAGCATGCATCTTGGGACGTGGTTAGAATTCAGGGAATTCTTGAAGGAGGCATGGCAGCAAGGTCTGTTTGATGCAGTTGCTGAGTTCAAGCAACATCCATGCTGCACAGAAATATGTGTCCACATCGAAGCGTTGTGTGAGATAGGCAGTGTGCTGGTAGGGGACTGCCAGGACACAGGGCAGGACCTCTTCCTGGGTGTTGTCTTTTTAAAGAGATACTAACAGAAGTGGTAGCCAAATACCCTTCAGAGGTCAGGAAAGCAGGTCATCTGAGAACAGCTGAAGGAGCAGGAAGGCTCCGGCAGAGAAGAGCAGGTGGAATGGAGAATCTGATAGCCACCCCCGACACCTGAAATACTGTGAAGTGGAGAGAGTCGGCTTACTCTGTTCCCCCCGAAGGACAGAGCTAGTGACTAGGGATTGCATAGTAACGGTTTTTTTATTGAGCAAAGCACAAACTTCCTGATAATCACAGGCATCTGATCCAGGAAACAGCTGTCTTCACACTCAGTAACAATGGCTGCTGCTGCTGAAGCAGAGGCCAGATGAGCCTCTTGTCCTGGGCTTTGGTCAGAACTAGAGGAGCCCAAAGATCTCTGTTAGCCCTTGAGCTTGTGATTAGATTAGGGGCAAGTGGTTAGGAGAAAAGAAAGTGTTCTTTTATCTTAGTTGGCATTGTTTTCTCTCTGACCTCACATTTTATTTTGACTATCCACCAAACTGAAAACAGAAGAATCACTAAACCGTGTTGTGTTGGTTCAGCCAGTGCCCACTGAGCACGGCCTGTGAGCCAAATACTGGACTGGAAGCTGGAGGTACAGAAGGGATAAGCATCTCTGCTCTCAAGCAGCTTATTTGGTTGGGGAGATGGTTTCTGCTTTAAAACTGTGTGGTCTTTATACTTAAATCTTTCATATTGACAGTTTTTTTTTTAAGAAATAAGATGATGATTAAATAATAGTTTTGAAAAACACATTAATGACAACCTAAGTAAAATACTTTTTAAAAAAAATTTGAAGCAATACAATCTAGTGGTCATAAGCAAAGTGTTGGGTATACTGCCAGGATCACATCCCAAGTCTGGGACCTACTAGGCATGTGATGTAATCTCCATATGCCTGAGTCTCATCATTTAATTGAGCTTGTGGGGTAACTAAATCACAACAATTATTAGTTAATATGCATTTCCTTTGGAATGTGATATTGTTCCCCTATTATCTATATGGTTTTGATATCCCCAAATTATTGTTATTAAAGGGAGACGAATACCAAGGATCAGGAAGTTGATGGAAAGAAGAGAAAAGGAGACGAAAACATCAAGTCAGAGAGAAGGAACTCAGAGAGCTTTCTGGGGACTTCTGAGGAAGGTAGGAATGAGTGGCACTATGTAGTCTACAGTCCTTTGGCTTTAAAGAACATCAAAGTTATTTTTTTTTTTAAAGATTTATTTTTATTATTTTTTCATTGGAAAGACGGATATACAGAGAGGAGAGACAGAGAGGAAGATCTTCCGTCCGATGATTCACTCCCCAAGTGAGCGCAACGGGCCGATACTATGCCGATCCGAAGCCAGGAGCCTCTTCTGGGTCTCCCGCGCGGGTGCAGGTTCCCAAAGCCTTGGGCTGTCCTCGACTGCTTTCCCAGGCCACAGGCAGGGAGCTGGAAGGGAAGTGGGGCTGCCGGGATTAGAACCGGCGCCCATATGGGATCCCGGGCGTGCAAGGCGAGGACCTTTAACCACTTGCGCCACCGCGCCGGGCCCAACATCAAAGTTATTTAGAAATGTTTCTCAGACATGATATGAATTCTCGTATTTTTTGATATTTTCTTTTCTTCCTGCATTTCAGCTTAGGTTTTCTGATAAATCTCATTCATGGTTCATTATAAAACAGTAAGGGCCTCTGATTCCATTTCTAAAGTAACCCTTCAGCCAGTTTCTCATCATTACTTTGCACACTGTCTAGAGCAGTGTTTTGCCTCATAAGAGTTTTAAATTTTGCTGACACAGATGTTGCAAAATAATGTCATATAAAATCATATAATCATATATATCAAAATTTAAGCATGATCCAGAAGTAATATGAAGTTATAAACTGACCTTAATTTCAGAACTATTCTGATAGAGCTTTCAGGCTTATTTTTTTGGTAAGATTTATTTATTTTTCTTGGACAGTCAGATATACAGAGAGGAGGAGAGACAGAGAGGAAGATCTTCCATCCGATGGTTCACTCCCCAAGTGGCTACAATGGCCGGAGCTGAGGCAATCCCAAGCCAGGAGTCAGGAGCACCTTCTTGGTCTCCAACGTGGGTACAGAGTCCCAAGGTTTGGAGCCATCATCGACTGCTATCCCAGGCCACAAGCAGGGAGCCGGACTAGAACCAGTGCCCATATGGAATCCTGGCATGTCCAAGGCGAGGACCTTAACTGCTACGCTATCACACCGGTCCAGCTTTCAGGCTTTGAATATGACATTTACAAATGATGCCTTCTTATATTTATGTGCATCTTCATTGGAACTTAGAGACATTAATTATTTCAGAGCACCTGGTATCACTTTCATGCCCTCTGAAGTCCCTTCTCATTCTGCTTTTCTTGCCCTGCTGTGCCTCTGAATGCTGACCCCTGTGTACAGCGTCTCCTGGCCTCCTGTTGGCCAGGGGGAGGTTCTGGGAGAAGGTCAGAGGGCTGGAAGAGAAGTTGAGGCATGGCTTTTTTTTTTCTTTCTTGCTACTTGAGCTCCTTGTGACTGGTAGAGTAGTGTCCCTCCATAAGTGCAGCTCCTAAAGGGCAGCCTGTCCTTCCTAGATCTCACTGGGTTCCGGTAACTGGGCCTCCATCCCCAGACCCTTCAGAATTGTGGCTTTCACCTGCTGGTAGTAACTGGATACCTTGCCATTCTGTTTTCTCCCTCAATTCAACTGGAGTATATAGTCACTCATTCCATAAAGGAGTCTATAATTCTGCCAGCCATAGATATATTGTTTCCTGCAGAACCCTAAATTCCTACAGAGTGGATCCAGACCCAAAATGTGTGGTCTTTTAACTAGAACTGGCTTAGCCAAGTGGGTGATACAAAGACTTTGTGAACTAGTGTCAGCAATGTCCATCGCTGAGGCAGGGAGCTGTAGAATACTGTGTTTTCACAATTTGCTACAGAACAGGAAAACTTAAATAACACAATCCATTCTAAGTAGAGAAAGCAGTGATATGAATTCTGAATTCTGGCATCCATTGACATAAAGCATAATCGAGTTATTTGTTTCTTCCTCTTACATTTGATCAAGATGAACGAAAACCCTGTTTTTGGAAGCGACTGGGTTGGTCCGAGCCATCCAGGTAATGAGATGTCAGATATTTGTAAGCCAGAGTTCACTGTTTATGGACAATATGACCAGACTTAAAACAATTACCACATATGTAGATTTGAATTCAGACAAAGCTGCTCAGTTTTTAACATGTTCATGTTGATAGTTCATTAAAATATAAAATGAGATTAAAGCCAGCTTTGATTAAATAAATGGTCAAGTCAAAAAAAATTTTAACAGAATACAGAAGACTCTAATAGGTTTATTGACCTTCCACAATGCCCTGCTGACCATAATGCTGCTTACTTATAAAGAACCAAGGCCATTTCCCTTGAGTTCAACTAGAATGAGGATGATGTTTGTGTCTTTATAAAAACATACATACTGACTTGTTTTGTTGTTGTTTTTCTTTGAAATGCATGCACACAGGATCATCGTTTTGGATCAGAGTGACTTGTCAGACTGACTTGGGCTGCAGGTAGACTGCCAGCCTGCTGGAGGGGAACCCTTGTGAGCGCCTTCCTTCTTGTGTCTGCTTCAGTTGCCATCAGGGCAGTGAGTTTGAGTCTGTAATTCACACTTCGTTTAGCTGCCACAGTAGACATAGTGGTTTCGCCCTGTTGACAGCACATTTAATTATTTTTGTTTTAGTCAAATTTCTGAAAAGCGAGAGATAGTTTTGATTGTAAAAAATTTCTCATGTATCCAGAATGGCTTTTGGTTTTGTTGATGTAAACTGAAAACTTTAGTAATAATAAAGATGTGTGAGATGTTTTTTGGTGTCGAAGTTAATGGAAGTAGAACTAAAGGAATGCCACCAAGATTATTTCAGTTCTGTTATAAAATAGGACACTTAAGCAGCCAACACTATTCCACAATCCATCCGCCCCAAATGGCAACAGTTGCCTGTGTTTTATAACAGAAATACTGTCTATCTCCTTGGCCAGAATTTCCATATTCCATCTCTAGTTTGAATTGCCTAGCATGATGAAAAAACAGGTAGCAACAAAAGCTTAAAATATTTTGAACTCCTTAAAGTGAGCCAACCACCATCTCTATATTTTGTACACTTCAGATCATCAGTTGTGTTAGGGGACTGAAATCTGTGCTAAGATCAGGATCACAGGCCCGGTGCAGTGCCTAGCGGCTAAAGTCCTCACCTTGAACGTGCCAGGATCCCATATGGGCGCCAGTTCTAATCCTGGCAGCTCCACTTCCCATCCAGTTCCCTGCTTGTGGCCTGGGAAAGCAGTCAAGGATGGCCCAAAACCTTGGGACCCTGCACCCGCATGGGAGACCTGGAAGAAGTTCCTGGATCCTGGCTTCAGCTTGGTGCAGCACTGGACGTTGTGGTCACTTGGAGACTGAATCATTGAACAGTAGGTCTTCCTCTCTGTCTCTCCTCCTCTCTGTATATCTGATTTTGCAATAAAAGATAAATAAATCCTCCCTCCCCCCCCAAAAAAAGATCAGGATCACAACATTGTCTTTAATTTTAACCTCTGAAGATGTCTGGTCAGATGTGTTTGTGTGTCTAACCTGACTTTTAGAGGACTTGCATACCTTCATTTACCTACAGCTTGGCCTCTTCACATATGAATGAAAACTTTCTCTTTAAGTTGTATATTGCTATGCAGGACCTGCTAGCTGGTGTTTTACTCTTTTTGGTTTTATTTAATGAACATTTATTTTTTCCATTTTTAAGAGTTATTTTTATTTGAAAGGCAGATTTACAGGAAGGAGAGACTGAGAGAAGGATCTTTCATCTGCTGATTTACTTCCTAAGTGACCACAGTGACTGGAGCTGGGCCAGTCCAAAGCCAGGAGTCAGGAGTTTCTTCTCCCTTGTATTGGTGTAGTGGCCCAAGGACTGGCAGCCTCCTCTACTGCTTTTTCGGGCATACTGGAAGGGAGCTGGATCAGAGTGAAGCAGGCAGGACAGGACTCAAATGGGTACCCATATGGGATACTAGCACCTCAGGCAGAGGCTTAGCCTACTATGCCATAGCAGTAGCCGTTGTTTTACTCTCTTAGTGAAAACTGAATATTCCCTGTTTTGTTTGTGAAAACTGAGTATTTTCTGTTGTGAATGATCATATTCATACTCCTTTCCTGTCAATGGAAAATAAATTAGTTTCACAAATAAAAATATGCATAAGCAGCTTTGAGGGATTCGAAGACTTACAACACATACACCTTTTCTCAAAAAACTGAATTTGGGGCAGGCATTTGGTTAAGGCACTGGCTAGCATATCTTTGTGTCACCTTGCATATCTATGTTCAGGTCCTGGCTCTTGGGCTCCTGACGTCAGCATCTGAAAGGTGCAGACCTTCATGGTGATGGCTGAAAATGGTTGGGTTCTTCCTACCTGGCTTGAGTTTTTGGCTCCCAGCTCTGTGGCCTCCTCCTGCCTTCCTTCCACCCTCACTCTAGCCATTGGGAACATTTGGAGAATGAGCCAGTGGTCAGAAACTCACTCTTTTTAAAAAAAAAAAAAGATTTATTTTATTTTTATTGGAAAGGCGGATATACAGAGAGGAGAGACAGACAGGAAGATCTTCCGTCTGATGATTCACTCCCCAAGTGAGCGCAACGGCCGATGCTATGCCGATCCGAAGCCAGGAGCCTCTTCCGGGTCTCCCACACGGGTGCAGGGTCCCAAAGCTTTGGGCTGTCCTCGACTGCTTTCCCAGGCCACAGGCAGGGAGCTGGAAGGGAAGCGGGGCCACCAGGGTTAGAACCAGCGCCCATATGGGATCCCGGGTGTGCAAGGTGAGGACCTTAACCACTGTGCCACCACGCTGGGCCCAGAAACTCACTCTTTAATCTTTCTTCTTCTTAAATAAAAAAGAAATTGTTCCTATATATATATATTTTTGAGCAAAGCATTTATTTTGGGTGTGTGTGCTAAAAAATGAAGAAATAAATCCAGGTAGATAATGAAATATTTTTTCTGTATTCCATCCTGGGTTCTCCATCCTCAGTTGAGGTTTAGATTATTTCAACACTTCTAGAGGTTATGAGGTCTCCATCTCCTGACTGTGTTTGTCCAGTGCAGCTCACTACTGAGTAGAGCAGTGTTCTTCACATTGTCATCATCCCAGTTATCCTTCCAGACATGTGTATCTGCATCTTCAGCTACGCCAGCCCAGTCTTCAGCGAGGAGACCCAGGTCTGCATGGCTCCCCTCTTTGGCCGGCACTTCATGGGTGAACAGAAGTGGAGGCCTCACTCCTCTGCAGCCAAGTCCACTCTGCCATCTGCAAGGCTGGAGCTACTACAGAGACCAAGAAGTTAATCTGTGACATAAAACCAACATACATAAAAACGTGGGATTACCATGGTAAGTGATAAATTACTGTGGCATTTTATTAATATTTATAAACTATAGAAGCAATACACATATAATCTATGGAACAGATTCTTCTCATCAGTGACTATTACATCAACCAAGGTGAATGCTACTTGTGTTGGTATTGCCTGTGAATTATAGAGTAATTGTTAGTTACCAGGTACTTTATACACAGTCTTTTTCCTTTTCCCACTGTTCCTGTTGCATACTTCTTCTCCCTCTCTCATCAGCTATTTTACACTGGTATCCCTCACTTTCCATTAACCTTCAACAGATGAAATCACCTCCAACTCTAAGAGAAAATAGAAATCATCAGATGAGAATAAGCTTAACTTTTCATCAGCAAGTCACCTCACGTGACCACATCTATTTCTGTAGTATAGAGCAGCAGCTGTATGTGGAGAAGTCTACCCTGCGTCTGCTAGCACTGGGCTTATTCTTAACCTATTCTTTGTGATTTTGTATTCTCTTCCTGGCCTAGGCCATTCCCATTTCCTGTCTGCTCAGGATACCCTCCTCAGTTATTGTGGGGGTTTGTTTTCCCCCAGTAGCACCTGCTCCTTCTCTGTTAGCTTATTTTTGTCATAATTATCACACTTGACTTTTCCTATCTTTTAAAGCAAACTCTCTGGCCCTCACTTCTGTTTCAGCCACTGCTCTGTTGCTGCCCTCACTACAGCCAGAGTTTGCACCTGATGTCCATAGTTCCTCATTTCCCTCTCAGCCCACCAGAATCTGAATTCTATTGCCATTCTTTATCAGTCACTAAGATCACTAAAGGCTTCCAAAGGCCTACCTGCCACTGCCACTCTGGCCTCAGAGCTGCTTGTTGTTTGAGCATACTCCCTTGGCTTTCTTCATGTTATACTCTGGTATTTCATTCTACTTGTAATTACCCCACCTCAGTCTCTCTCTTTTTTAAACTATGTAAATCAGGACAGTTTTTTAATATATATTTTTGGCAATCTTTACATAGTTAATTAGGGTAAAAATGTTCAAGGGCTATAGGAAAGTGGGTAAGACTATTATTTCCATATTGTTTCCTTCATGTATCACCTCAGTCTCTCTTACAGGTTCTACCTCAATCTGTTCTCTGAATTGGCCTCATAAGAGGCCATGTTCACTCCCTTAGCTTCAGTTAGAAGCTGTATACTGACAACTCCTAGATTCCCACCGTCAGCCCCAGACCAGACCTCTCCATCTACCTGAATGTTTGAGATTTCCACTTGGATTCTTTCAGTTAACTCACTGACACCCAAATACTGAACTCAGAGTCTTGCCCTCCCCTTGCTCCAGCATTCCCCCGCCCATCAAGGGTACTGTTGTCCAGAGGGTCACCAGGCTGGAAAACTGGAGTCATCCTTGACCCTCATTGCTTTACCTTTTGCTTCAAAAAATTTAATCGTTGAAACGTGCGTGTTTCAGTCTCAAAAGTGTATGTCACTTATACCCAAGTGTCTCCACCTGCCGTTGCTCCACCATACAAAAGGCCAAGGAACATGTTTGATTTATATGAGGTGTCCCTGGCTCCTGGCGCAGAACCTATATTTATTGAGTGACATTTTAAAAAAATGAATTTATTAGATATCCCGTATCTACCAGTTTACTCCCCAAGTAGTTGCAATAAACTGGGGATGGGCAAGAGCTGAAACGGAACCAGGAACTCAATCCAGATCTCCCAAACTGGATCAAGAACCCAATTACTTGAGCCGTCACTGCTGCCTCTGAGGGTCTGCATTGCCAAGAAGTTGGAGTTAAAGGCTGGATGTAGGAATTGAACACCTCACTACTCTGTTATGGAATGCAGGAAATTTAACTCTAGGCTAAAGGCTTGTTTTCCTGACTATTTTTAATATAACAATAGATAGAAGTTATGTATTGTTATTCATATTTATAAAAGAGGAGACCCTTGGGCCTGGCGCGGTGGCCTAGCGGCTAAAGTCCTCGCCTTGAACGCACCGGGATCCCATAAGGGCGCCAGTTCTAATCCCGGCAGCTCCACTTCCCATCCAGCTCCCTGCCTGTGGCCCGGGAAAGCAGTCAAGGACGGCCCAAAGCCTTGGGACCCTGCACCTGTGTGGGAGACCTGGAAGAGGCTCCTGGCTTTGGATCGGCATAGCATCGGCCGTTGCGCTCACTTGGGGAGTGAATTATTGCACGGAATATCTTCCTCTCTGTCTCTCTTCCTCTCTGTATATCTGACTTTCCAATAAATAAATAAATCTTTTAAAAAATAAAAAATAAAAGAGGAGACTCCAAAGACAGCCTGTGGCATTCCTGAGATTATACTGGCACAATTTATATACTTTGCTCAATAGCCTTCCTTGAAACTAGTTCAAGGAAATGTCCTTAAGATTATGGAAGCATACCAACAATGAACTTCAGGTTAAAAATAATGGCATTCCATCCCCATCTTCTCATCAATTCTTTTGGGTTTTATACTGAATTTCTGAAACATACTGAGTCTTTCACTTTATCTCATAATGGATAAACAGAATATGTAGTGAGTTTCACATGCACAGTAGATGATGAGTAAGTAATGACTCACTGTTATTGAATGAAATTTCTGGAGCACCTGTAGAAATTTTAAATTATTAAAAATTTCCAGATTAAATTACAATTGCTTTTCCCCTAATATTGATTATTATTCATTGTGTAGTTGCTATGGTTTGAATATGGTTGGCACTACAAAGGTTTGTGTGCTAGAGGCTTGGTCCACAGTAACAGTATTGAGAGTTGAAACCTTTAAGGAGTTCTAGTTTCAGCTCTGTTCCCCAATCCAGAGTCCTGCTGTTGTGTGCCTTGCACACAACTATGACATTAACAGAGAAGTGGAAAGATATATGAAACATAATGGACTCCAGAAAACTACTGAAGTATAAAAGTTGGAAATGTGGTATATAAAATCATATTTGTCAAACTAGATAAATCAATAAATAATACGGTTGTTTGGAAAGATGCTAAAAACTGAGTTCCTGTTCTAAAAACAAATGACTGGCTGTCAAGCACCTAAAAGTAAAAATACATAAGAATTAAGAAATTTTAATGTCTATTTTATAACCTTGAATGCAGAAAACTTTTTTTGAAGAGTTATTTATTTTTTATTGGAAAGTCAGATGTAGAGAGGAGAAACAGAGAGGAAGATTTTCTGTCTACTGATTAACTCCACAAGTGGCCACAACGGCCAGAACTGAGCTGATGCAAAGCCAGGAGTCAGGATCCTCCTCCAGGTCTGCCACTCAGGCTCAGGGTCTCAAGGCTTTGGGCCATCCTCCACTGCTTTCCCAGGCCACAGCAGGGAGCTGGATGGAAAGCAGGGCCTTCAGGACACAAACCAGCGCCTATATGGGATCCTGGTGTGTGCCAGGAGAGGACAATACTAGGCTACTGTATTGTGCTGGGCTCTATTTACACATTTTCTTCTTCCCATATGGGGAGGGGGAAATACAGGAGGAGAAACCATGCCCAGCTTCCCAACCACCGGATTACTCTGGGGATTGGAGGGCTGCCACCTGATGTCATCCCAAGTTCCCCATTGTGGAACATTTTCTGAGGGTTCTGTTCTGTTCATGTGCTTTTGATAGTTCTAAGGTGCTGCTGATATCGCTGCTCCAAGGATTAGGAAATCTTTCTGAGGTTAATTGGCTGTAGTCAACCTCTGAGTCTTTATTGGCTCAAAAATTTGCTGTCAACTTTTACTGGGGTAGTTGGTAAATTTGTTCTGCCCTCCATCAGCAAACCAATGCGTGCTGCAGTCCAGGCCAGCCCTGCCCATCACACACTCGGTCCCCACAGGGGGAGCTGCAGCCCAGTCAGAGAAATCCCCAATAACTCCTACTGGACTGGCTCTGGTTCCTGTTGCTGCCAGCATGTGCAGTGGACTGGTCCAGTCTGCCCCACATTCCATTCAAATCTCAGATACATCATTGGGCATTGAGGCCTAACTCAAACCAACTAACTACACGGTCCAGCACATAGTCATACCAGCAGGTGCCACCGCCTGTCCAGCCAGGCCTACCCTCAGTCCTGGTTCTCATGCTCACCAGTGGGATTTGCAGCCCATCAGAGAGAAGCCCACAACCCCTCCACTGCACCCACTCCCCACCCTGCATCTCGCACATTCCAGGTGGTTTTGCGATCTGGCTTTACAGGACTTGCCCCCAGTCCCAGTACTTGCCAGCTGATGCTGCAGCAAAGTTCAACCCACCTGCCCTTATTCTGGCTCATGCCTGCACCAAAGGATACAATCAGCTACCTCAACCTGGCTCTCTCCCTGACCTGGCTCACATGTAAGCCAATAGGTGTTGTAGCCCTGCCCAGCCTGGTTTCCCCAGTTTCAGCTCATGCTCACCAGCATGAGCTGTGACCCAGCATTGGAATCCCCACTACTGCCTTACCAGGCTCAACCTCCCATCCCAGTCTTGTGTGTGCTGGTGGGTGCTACGGCCCACTCTGGCATGGCCCAGCCTATATATGAATCACCCGGAGATCCTGTTGAAGCAGATTCTGGGGGCTGGCGTGGCATAGTGATAAAGCCACTGCCTGCAGTCCTGAATGGATACCAGTTAGAATTCCAACCACTCTACTTCTGATCCAGGTCCCTACTAGTGTGCCTGGGAAAGCAACAGAGGCTAAGTGCTTGAGCCCCTGCAGCCATGTGGGAGAGCAAGATGCAGCTCTTTACTCTGGATTGCATCCTGACACAGCCTGACCCTTTATGGTGGCCATTTGGAGAACAGTGCTCCTTCTCTCTCAACATCGCTTTTCAAATATATATGTATTTATGATTTATTTTATTTTTATTGGAAAGTCAGATATCATAGAGGAGGAGAGAAAGAGGAAGATCTTCCATCTGCTGATTCACTCCCCAAATAGCCACAACGGCTGGAGCTGTGCTGATCCAAAGCCAGGAGCCAGGAGCCATGAGCTTCCTTCAGATCTCCCATGCAGAGTCCCAAGGTTTTGGGCCATCCTCCACTGCTTTCCCAGGCCACAAGCAGGGAGCTGGATGGGAAGTGGAACAGCTGGGACACAAACTGGCATCTGTATGGGAGCCCAGCACTTGCAATGGAGGGAGGATTAGCCAGTTGAGCCACTCTGCTGTCCCGCCAACCCCCCAGCTCCTTTTCCAGTTCAGATTTCTGCTCATGTGAACCCTGGGAAGCAGCAGATTTGGCTCAAATAGTTGGGTCCCTTCCTTTCTTGTGGGAGACCCAGACTGAGTTTCTGGCTTCTGATTGGCCTCTTATCAGCTGTTGTGGGTATTCAGGGAGTGAGCCAGCAGAAGATCTGCCTGAGTCTCCCTGCTTTTCAAAAAAAAATTATTTTTTCTTTAGATTGAGAACTATTATGTTTAGGAGAAAATTGTACTATATACAAAGACTATGTATTTACATAAAGGATGCTTACTGCAACATCATTTATAATATTGAATAATTGAAAGAAACACAGATGTTCAACAATGAAAGACTGGTTTTTAAAATTTATGGAATCGGCCAGGCATGGTAGCCTCGTGGCTAAATCCTCACCTTGTATGCACGAGGGTCCCATATGGGCTCTGGTTCATGTCTCAGCTGCTCCACTTCCAGCTTCCTGCTTGTGGCCTGGGAAAGTAGTAGAGAATTGTCCAACGCTTTGGGACCCCACAACCACATGGGAAACTCGGAAGACTCTCCTGGTTCCTGATTGCAGGTGAGCTCAGCTCCAGCTCTTGCAGCCACTTGGGGAATGAACCAGCAGATGGAGGATCTTTCTATTTCTTCTTCTCTCAGTAAATTATGATTATTGAATAGTAATAACTTTTTTTAAATAAAAAATAAAATTTATGGAATGACTATACGTGGGTTAATTAGAAGTTATAGTGACACAGTAAAATGTCTGTAATATATGCAATAACACTAGTAGCAGTATGCTAGCAGGTGTTTAGGATCCTATTTATGTGAAAGTTTAAATGTCTATATGTGGTAAATACATAAAGAATCTATAAATATGGTTGTTAAAATAGTAAAATGGTTATTTCAGATGATTCTGGTGTTTTCTAGTTCTCTGTAAAGCTGTCTGAATTTGGGTAATAAGTGGATGTTTGGCGCAATGATTAAGCTGCTAGTTAGGATTCCCACATCATATAGGAGGAGCACTTGGGTTTGAGTGCTGGCTCTGCGCTTCCATTTCAGTTGCCTACTACTATATTCCCTAGGAGGCAACAGGTAATGGATGGCTCAAATAATTGGGTCCATGTCACCCACGTGGGAGACTTGGAGTTCCAGGGCTTGCCCAGGCACAGCAGTTTTAGGGCATTTGAGGAGTGAGCCAGTGGATGAAGTTCTGTCTCTCTCCTTTCTCATTTTCTCTTTTTCTCTCTTGCTGTCTGTCTCTGTGTCTTTCAAAGAAATAAATTTGGGATAATAGAAAGGATTTAGAGAAAAATCAATGGGAGGCAGAACTATAATGTCATAATTTGCCATAAACCCAATCAACCACAGCTGATCAATTAATAAACCTAGTCAATTAATTATAACTACTTTGGAAGACAAACAATCAGAAAAGAATGGTCAATGTAGAGCCAGTCATCCTATAACCTTGACCCTTTCAAGTCAATAAGAGAAGGTTGGAAATGATAGGGTCTATGGGGAAAAATACATGCTAGAGGGAGAAAATGTAGCATTCTCTTCCTTATCCAAAATGATCATCCAGATTGGAAAGGCACCAGAGGGGATCCGCTTGCTGCAGGGTGATGGCTGGCCTGAGACGATTTTGAAACAAGACACTTTCATTGCGTGGCACCCATACGGTAGGCAGTGGTTTCCTAAGGTTTGAGCAAAGTAGCTATTTTGGTTAAGGTGTGATATCTGAATCCCTTCTACAGTTTTGTACTCTCCTTGACCAAGGTATATGAGAATTTATGGGCCCAGTGGCATGGCCTAGCAGCTAAAGTCCTCGCCTTGAACGCGCCAGGATCCCATATGGGTGCCAATTCTAACCTTGGTGGCTGCACTTCCCATCTAGCTCCCTGCTTGTGGCTTGGGAAAGCAGTCGAGGACAACCCAATGCTTTGGGATCCTGCACCCACGTGGGAGACCTGGAGGAGGTTCCTGGATCCTGGCTTCGGATCAGCATAGCATCGGCCGTTGTGGTCTCTTGGGGAGTGAATCATCGGATGGAAGATCTTCCTCTCTATCTCTCCTCCTCTCTGTATATCTGACTTTGTAATAAAAATAAGTAAGTGTTTAAAAAAAAAGATATATGAGAATTTATGATTTGGGAAGCATGGGATTTTTACCCCAGGGCTAACCAAATCACTCATGAAACCTGGAAAAGTTAGAGCTCTTTTTTTTTTTCTTTTAAACTTGTGTACAATGCAATTTTAAACAAAATGTGGACAACTTTGCACAATACCCTGTACCTTATTAGAAGGACTAACACAGCATGTTTGATTGCTCTGAGTAGCCTTGTCCTCATGGGATCTTCTGGCTCGTTTCTCCTCTAGATAAGTCCTCAAAAATTCTTAGAATCTGGAGAGTACAGGAGGGACTGGAGCCTTCCTTATATACAAGGAAATTCCGGTTTTGTTAAGAACTTGGCCAAAGGTTTGGTAGTGCAAACCCTTAAGAATAAATCCACAATTTCCTTTCAGGTCCTGCTTCTCTGAAGAATTGTGGCTGTATGCCAGCATGTTTAATAGGAAGCTCCTTCCTTTATGACATCACCGGAAAGGTAGCTAAGGGGACTTTACTCGAGCCCCACTTAGAACCGCAGCCACTTTTAGGGGAGCCCAAGAACAGCAGCTTTTAAAACTGAGGGTGAATATTTAGACTTCGTTAGGATCCCAAATACAAGCGAACTAGTGAAGCATGGCATCCACCCACAAGGGTGCAGTCTTTCAGATGGTCAAGACGAATAAACTTGGGTCCAAGGTAGAGGTTTCAACACATAAAGGGGCTGAGGTCCACAGCAGCAGTCCTCAGCGGGTGCAAGGCTACCCTCCTACCCACAGCCAGCGAAGCACTGCCATCTCCTCGAGCCCTCCACCCCATCGAAGACCAGAAGCTGCACATCCCATCCCTCCCAAGGCGGCCCCAAGCTATCCTCGATCTTTCTCCCCAGAAACAGGCCCTGGTTACTCTTCAGCCCACATTTCTCGGGGAACCGAGTCCCGGCCCAGAACAGACGCATTCCACCATTACTCTCCTCATCGAAAGACCCAGCAAGTTCAGACAGCAACATCCCACACTGTAAGCACCCATCAGAATGTGAGCCCACCCAGAGAGTGTGCAGCACGGAGAGGTGGTGAGAACAAGCCCATGCGCGACATCACCCAGCCGAGCTCATTAATCCCAGATGTCAAGTCCTCTCGCCGACTGAGTTTCTTAGACCAGAAGAATAACTTTCGTACTCATAACTTCCAAGAAGAGGATCCACCTTCCAAGGTACAGAACCCACAAGGTGTTCGAGTGCCTCGTAGAGTTTCGATTCAACCAAAGGATGAAGCAATACAGACCGACCCCATCCAAAGGACTACCAAGAGTCCCTCCAGGCTAGACCATGGCAGCAGCCGCCTTAGTACTGAACGTTGGGCCACCCTGAAAAAGACTCTTGTCCGGGAGCCAGAAATGGATTTTTACAATTCAGTGCTTTCGGCAACCAAGTCTTTGCATAAGAACATAAACTTGGATTCATCCCTCAAACTCTCTGTCCTTAGAAATTTGGATGGCAGACAGGGAGTTCCCTCATGTGCTGAGCCTGAGTCTCTCTGCAAGCACTCTGTCTACACTGAAATCAAGCCCTCAAAACTCTCAACGATATCAGAGGTGGAGTCCAACATGAAGTCTCCAATCCAAGAAGACACTGACGTCAGTGTCAAGGTTCCCATTTCCCCAGGACAATCAATACCATCAACTCACCGTGTGAGAGCTCGATTAATGTCTGAAAGCTTACCCAGACCTCCTCTGTTTGCCACTGCAGAACCTTCACAGGGACTCACAGAAATGAACCACATGTCCCCAGGACCCACAGCCAGGTATCAAGAACCATCCCAAAAGTCTGCCCATAGTACAGAACTGGAACTGACTCCTCGGCCTTTACCCCCTCGATCCTTACCCAGATACGGGCCCGAGTCCTCATGGTGGGCCTTACTGAATCCTGATGTTGAAACGCCTCAAAGTCGACCAATAACCCCTGATTTTGAGCCCAAGTCCTCTCCTCCCCTAGACCCATTCATGTCCCTTTTGGAAATGGACTCAAGCCCTTTATGTGAGGATCTGATGTTCCAGAGAGAAAAGGAAAGCCCATCACTGCCATCACCAAAAGAGCCTCCGGACCAGACACCCATGAAGGAAGTGCCAAAGACCCCCAAGCACACCTGGAAACAACCAATTCAAAGGTTTAGTGCTTTCTTCCTGGGTATGTGAAGAAGCAGCCCCAGTTTAGTCAGATGGGACGTTGGGGTGGACAGGAAAGACCACTTCTTTATTCTGGGCCTCAGGACTGCCCTCCTGCCAATGCCTAAGGTAGTCCCATCTCTGGGCCCACTGCTCTGTTCTTTCCCTGCCAGCTTCTCTGAGTGCCAAACTAATAACGTCACATGAAAATGCTTGGGCCCAGTAGCAAGGCATTGACTCTTCAAAGCAATGCTGCTTAACTTTTCGATGGAAGGTGGTAGAGAGTAATTTGTAGCGTCAGAAGCCAATTCCTGAGAATGAAAAACTGAGCTGGGGTAAGGACTGCTAAAGAGAATGAGGGTCTCAAGTCAGTATTCTGGCATTGAAGGATAGGAGATGGAGTGAGATGAGCTGGGTCTTGGGCTTCCCGGGGGAAAGTGGCACAGAGAGAGGGTACGTGAGACTAACATTTAATCCTAAGCTGAAGGAGATTTATAGAGAGCATCAAAGGGTACAGGCATGTTTGTATGGAGAGATGTGGAGCTAAAGATCTAAGTCACCCTGGGGGAGGGGTGTGCATCTCAGAGAGAAAAAAGCAACGACCTTTCTCTTACTTTCAGATGTTTCTGAGGAAATGTGCAACCGTGTCATCTGGTGGCTGAAAGGTCTGTGCTGCCTGTCCCCTGCTCCCACCCCTGCCATGAACCCATTATGGGGGTTTGGAAATGGGAAGACAGGTGAGAGGGTGGCATCTAGGTGTTGATGGAGCTATGTCTTTGGGAACAGTACATTGTTTTATTTATTTGTGTTTTAGATTTATTTTTTTATTTGAAAGGCAGATTTACAGGCCCAGTGCAATGGCCTAACGGCTAAAGTCCTCGTCTTGAATGCGCCAGGATCCCATATGGGTGCCGGTTATAATCCCGGCAGCTCCATTTCTCATCCAGCTCCCTGCTTGTAGCCTGGGAAGGCAGTCAAGGATGGCCCAAAGCCTTGGAATCCTGCACCCGTGTGAGAAACCTGGAGGAAGTTCCTGGCTCCTGGCTTTGAATCGGTACTGCACCGATCATTGTGGTCACCTGGGGAGTGAATCATCGGACGGAAGATCTTCCTCCTCTGTCTCTTTGCCTCTTTGTATATTATGACTTTGCAATAAAAATAAATAAATCTTGAAAAAAAGAGAGAGAGAGAAAGGCAGATTTACAGAGAAGGAAAGACAGAGAGGGTAAGGTCTTCCATCTGCTGGATCACTCCCCAGATGGCCACAATGGCCGGAGCTGAGCTGTTATGAAACCAGGAGCCTGAAGCTTCTTCTGGGTCTCCTACGTAGATTCAGTGCTCTTTCAGTGCTTTTCCAGGCACGTTAGCAGAGAGCTGGACTGGAAGTAGAGCATCCAGGACTTGAACTGTCAACCAAATGGGATGCCAGCACTACAAGCAGAGGCTTCATCTTCTATGCCAGAGCACTGACCTCAAGAGTGCTGATCAAAACTTTGATGAGAAAAACAGGAATTTCTAATTGTATCTCTAATCCCACCATTAGAGTTTTTCCTTTGGGATTTGGAGCCTTTTCTACTTTTGAGAGTACTACTTAGTGAGTAGTACTTCCAGAATGGAGACTAATTTAAGCCCCATGATCTTCCAGCTTTAGCTGGTCTAAACCATCATTCTAAAAACACCGCTAGAACAAACTGACTTGGTTTCACAGTCTTACTAAGGCCTGACTCTACATTAATTCAGGTTAAGGGCTCTTCTTTGTGTGTCTGGTCCCTTAAGCCTCTGCTCAAGCCCCCACCCTACAAGCTAGGAGACAACTACTGCTTGCTATCCACACAGTGTCTCCAGGGATGTCCGTCTGGACGTCCTCCTTGAAGCCATCAGTGGGTTGTGTGGCCAACTTTTAATCCTTAAATGTCTGTTTGTACTCACGGATTGTCTGGTGGCTGGGGAGTGAATCTGACAGCAGGAGTTTTGGTGTGAGCACCAAGGCCCCAAATGTGTTTCTAGCTCCATGAATATGGGAGACAGTGCTTCTGGATGAGGATATTCTGGGATGCAATCTAGTCACAGCCAGCATTAGCCTTGTGACAGCACCAAGAGGAGAAGGGCAGCCCTACCTTCTATAGAGGACAGAGTGCAGTTCCATCAAATAGAGACGTGGGTGACCATGAACCTGAGGTCTGACTGTACCCTTAGGTACTTTGTTTTTTGTTTCCAAACCTCAGTTTGCCCCTCTGTGAACAGGACTCATGAGTTCCTCTTTAGAGTTCTTGTGGATATTAACCAAGCTATTATTTGTAGAGTATTTGGCATGCTTCTTGGCAGCACTGACTACACAGTAAATGCTAACTGTTAGTTGAACTACTTGCAGTAGGAAGGGATTTGGGGCCCAGATATGCTCAAATCTACTGGGTATCTTTGGTGAAACTTTGTTTTTCCTCTTCGGTTGGCCCTCTGGATTCCATTTGCTGTCCCCTGGGAATGCGTGGCTTTTGCATCTCTTGTTATGACAGATGAGGAGGTAAGAATTCTCCTGGGAGATTGCTCCTATGCCCTCCCCTCCCCCATTGTATTCCTACTCCTATCCTCTGAGGGAACGGGGTAGGAGGGAGACAGAGCTTCTGCCTGTGGCTGGGCAAGATGTTCACTGCACAAGGGCATCTGGCAGAGGGATAAATGAAAACTAAATCTAGGCTGGCTGCCACGTGCCAAGCTCTGTACCTGTGGAGCTGCATCTGCCCGGGGGTTACACCAGAGCACTATCTGAGGGCTATTAGTTGTAGCCCTGGAGGGCAGGAATAGAGGACTTTTGAAAGATGATAGGTCTTGCCAAGTGCTCTGTGAAGAGACTGAAACTTGTTCTCTCTCTAGCCTGGGGTGCTCCAGAAAGGGGTCACATTTCTGGGTTACTCACTATTTGGCTCCTCAACTTGGAAAGACATAAGGTAGACTGCTTGCAGTGACCCTGTGTCCTAAATTTGGCAGTGTCCTGGTTTCACTGTGCATTTATTGCCCCCCTAAGTCCTTAGGCTCTTGTTGGCCTGCGTTTGATAAGATAGGCAAAGCTCTGCTGCTTGTTTCTCTTGCTGTATTTCTCTTAACCCAGATCTAGCAATGGCCTTTCCTGGGTTCCATTCATTGGGCTAGCCGAAGAAGAGCAGTTGACTACAGTTGGTTGATAAACAAATGAGCAAAGGGTATCCTGGGCTCAGATGACAGGAGCAGCTGAAAAGGAGGTGTCCAGAAGTGCTGCCACTGCCCCCTTGACCATGGATGCCTCTTAGTCAGCCCCAGGCCCTGAGCTCAGCTGGAGGTGGGAACAGTTATTTTTAGAGATTATCTCCATGCAAAACAGTAAATTTCTCCCTCTTTCCTTTCTTCCCTCCTTGTTTGCTTTCTTCCTCCTCCCTTCCTTCCATAGACAGTTTTTATTCAGATGACTAGCACTTTGCTAGGCACTAAAGGGAGCAGCCCTGAAGCCTTCCAGCACATTCTTTGGCCTTGAGAAACTTCACCATCTGGTTAGGGAGATAAGACAGACAGGAAACAACAGTATGCAATAGTCTGTACTCCACTGTCAAAATAAACAGAACTGACTGAATAGGTGCTCTTGGAGGAGTTTAGGGGAGAGGTCAGCAAGAGATGGGCAGGAGGTGAGGTTATGCCCTCCTTCCCAAAGCCCAAGGGAGATAAAGGCTAGCCTTGTGCTCACCCCTCAGTACCAGCCTGTGCCTTTGGGAAAGCACCTATCCCCCTTTGTTCAGGATTTGAGGGTTCCTCCCTGTTCCAAACCCTCATTCCCCTTTTTTGCACATCTTGTTTTAGTTTAGGAAGTCAAAAGCCTTGGCAGCAGGATGGCTCCTTCCCAAAATAGCTCTTATCCTGTCTGGATAATGACAACTTGCCAGCCCTGTTCGCCACAGAGCTGGTCCCCAGAAGCTGGAGGAGGCTCCCAGGCAGCTGGGCTGCTGGTCTTCTCTGGCTCCCTGGAGGTAGGGTGCCTACAAGTGAGTCAGGTGCTCTCCTTGTAAAGGGTCAGAGTGAGGCTTTCCTCAGCCTGGCCCCTGAGCCACTGGTCAGGAGACGACAGGGCTTGGTGTCCCAGGCCTCTGACTGCTCTAGTCTGGGAATGATTGACCATAGAGTCTGTTTCAAATTCTGTTTCTGGTAGGAATTTTCTGGTGACCAAGCCATGATGTGTGGCTTGTGGAAGGCAGCATGTTAGTTCTTCTTCTTCTTCTTCTTTTTAACTTGGAAAATCAGAGTTACATATAAAGAGAAGGAGAGCCAGTGAGAAATGTTCTTTCTGCTGGATCACTCCCCAAATGGCTGCAGTGGCAGAGCTGTGCTGGTCCAAATGGCCACAATGGCTGGAGCTGAATCAATCTATAGCCAGGAGCCAGAAGCTTCCTCCAGGTCTCCCATGCAGGGTCCCAAGGCTTTGGGCTGTCCTCAACTGCTTTCCCAGGCCACAAGCAGGGAGCTGGATGGGAAGTGTGGCTGCCGGGATTAGAACTAGTGCCCAAATGGGATCCTGGCACGTTCAAGGAGAGGACGTTAGCTGTCAGGCCACGGCGCCAGGTCAGCAGGTATTCTTGACGGGGGTGTTTTGCCATCAGAATTAGCAAAAGTGCAGGAAAGTCTGGAGGCAGCTCCGTGGGGCGTCCCTGAGATTAGTATAGCCCTGAGGAATTCCTGGAAATAAAGCGACTCTTGACGGGAGGGGCTGTGCCAGCCCCAAAAGATTCCGTGTCTTCAAGGCACTTGTCCTACTTGCCCTTGAACGTGAGGAGGGGTAGCTTACTCCCTGCTATATCAAATCAATTATGCAGGAAAGTAACTCTGGAAAATAGGCCAGGAATCAGAACCTATCTCAGTGGTGCCTATGACAAGACCTCAGTGTTTTCAGAGGAACATGTCATTTGACTCCTGAGGGACAGGTCAGTTAGCCTTTCTGTTCGCTGAGGAACCACAGGGGTGGGTTGGTGACCTGGGACAGGCCATGGTGCTGTCTGCCTCAGTAAGCAGCCCTGAAAGCACAGGAGGGGTGAGAATTAGGTTAGGCTTCCTTGGGACACTCAGGCAGGTTACTTCTTTTCCTTCCACATGGGAGCAGGTGTCTTCCTCAGGGTTGTGCAGATCCCCTCCCCTAAGTTTTTGATTTTGGGTGGAATGAGCCCACCACAGCAAAGAATCCATTCCATGCATTATGAACTTTGTACCGTATCTGAAGCTAGTTGGCTCCCTGACAGGAATATCTCCAACATCACTCCTTTTTGAAAACAACGATTTCGTTGCCACTAACGGCCCATGTTTGTGAGGTCTAGTGTGAAGTCTTCAGCACACGGCGATAGATACACTGTGTAATGGCCAGATGAGGCTAGTTGGCATATCCATCACATCATTACTTCCCCTTTTCTGTCTCAATAGTTTGGTGGCCTTTGAAAATGTGACTTTTTCAAATGAAAGGAGAGCCACGAGGCCTGGGGGGTTTAGGGGACTGGAATTCAGAAGCGGAATGCCTGTTTGGCTGAGGAAGCACATCTGTGACCCAGAAGCCACCCTGACAGCTGCACATCCAGAGGAAGGCTGTCCTCGGCAGTGGCGGCAGCCCTGTCCCTGCAGTCTTCCACTCAGCTGCCTTGGCCCAGCTGCCATGAGAGAAGCAAGAGGCAGCTGCACCTGCACGAAGCCTGGAGGAGGGGAGCAGGGGGAAGGGAGCCCGTGCTCTGGCACTGAGCCCAGGAGAACCGGTCCAAGCAAAGGCATTTCTGCTAGGTCAGCTAGCTCCAGGGGTCTCCACAGCGCCTGTTGTTAGGAACCTAGGGGGTCAGTAAGTCTGCTTTCTCCAGGGTGGCAACATTGTCATTCCAATGACACTAAAGCATTCCCTGGTACTCTTTCTCCTTTCAGCCCTTGACACCAATTAGGCATGCAGACCTCTCATCCATTGGAGGGAAGGCATTTGAGACAGTCACATTTGACAGTTGCTGGTTGATGTTGATCATTTTCCTGTGAGCTGAGGTGATGGCTGCTATTTCCCTTAGATGTTGCATGTTAAATGCATTGGTAAATCCACAGCAACCCTATTTGTGGGCATTTTTCTCCCTGTTTCACAGATGAGAAAACTGAGGCTCAAGCATGTTCCTCAAAGTTGGGAGCACTTTAAGAAGCATCCAGCTCCAGGGATTCAACCTCATGGCCTAAAATCCTTCCTCTATGGCCACATCTCCCTGGAAGATCCCATCCCAGTAGTTCAGCAGCACATTGAGATATCAAGAATTGAGAAGGGAAAATGTCTGTGCATGTGAACTGGGAGGCTGGGAGGTGGTAGGAACCTGCAAGCAGATAGAATGAAGGGCAAGTGACGGGTCAGTGGAGCCGAAAGCCTCAAGGCTTGTCTGTGCTCTAAAATGAGAGTGGAAAAGCTGATCAATGAATCCGGATTGATGAGCCACCTCTCGGGGGCAGAGCCTGTTCACCCAGGCCAGCATCACACTGTATCACATGTTTGCTGAGTTGAAATGAACAGAGGTTAAAATAGAAATTAAAATACAAGATACACTCCCTGCCCTTGTGGGGGTTGTGGTTAATCTGGGAGAGAAAAGTATATGGATCGGTCATTTGAAAGGGACAAAGTCCAGTTGGAATGAATCAGCAAAACTTCTAGCATGGAGACACGTGGAGGCCAAAATGCAAGGGGAGGCAGACTTTGGCATAGTATAATGAAGAGCTTGGTAACTCAGCTGCCTGAAAATTGAAAAACATTTGTTAGAGTCAGTGGATTTGGGGTCATGGACAGTATTCAATCAGATGCTGGGTAAAGGGGCTCTCGAAGTCAGTCAGACATCGCATGTGTAGTCACATTAGGAGGTGTGGACGTCCCCTCCAATCCTGCCCTGCTCAGGGAAGGCGTTGGAAAGACAATCTGCCTCTCAACTCAGCTGCCTCTCTGTAGTCATTCAACAGGTACCAGTAAACACCTGGCCACCCATCCTTACCCCCGTCCCAGGATCGTGGGACATGGGATGGTTCTAGCAGGAAATTGGGACTTAGGATAATTTAGCTGCTTGCCTCTGCACTGACCTCGCTGGACAGATGGGCTGAGGTTTCCTTGAAAGATGCAACCCTCTGGCCTGCAGGATTCTCTGACTATATCATCAGTGACTCAACTACCTCTGAGAAAGGAGGAGGTACAGTTAGTTCTTGCACTAAGGGGACAATTAACTACTGAGAGGGAAATGTGGCTTTTGTCAGTCGTGCAGATCAGAAATCCTGATTTCCTGTGGTTAGCATTCTTTATTCTTGGCTTTGAACCTGGGGCCTTCCTTGCATAGTTCCTATATCACATAGCTTTCATCCATTGATGCCAACCAGGAAATTTTCCAGAATATCTTGGCCCAATCTAAGCAAGGGAACTCAGGATAGCAGGTTTGAGCTGTGGTTGCTAATCTGAGTTTTCCAAAGGAGTGATCCTCTGTATCAAATTGTCAGCTGCCCAGAGGCTTGGCTTGAATATTC